CGGAGGTTGAGGAAATGCTCAAGGGAAGAGCTGTATCATTGCCAATCAAGCATCTCACGGCCTCGGGCTTACTCAAATCTGCTGCTTGGTAAACAATACACCTACCAGCGTTGGAGATGCAACAGCTTGGGTCTGCCGAGATTATGATCCCAAGATCTACATACTTGTATTCCTCTGACGATGTTGCAACGATGATGCCATCGATGGTTATACTCAATGACACATTTGCTGCATTCTCTGACGGTGGACTGACGCACAGTACAACGGACGATGAGAGCATAGATCCAGAAACCTGTATCTTTCCAAATTGACAAACCACTGAGCCCTCGACGTCAAGTTCTGTGCTCAAGGTAAGCTGCACCGACTGGCCTCCAAGTAGACCGCCAACGGCAGGATGGACCCGCAAAATGAGGCATTGTTGCTTGTAGTAGAATATTGAATGATTAGCATAGCAACAACTCGAGATCCCATCATTTAGAAGCTTCACTTCCACTTCAGCATACGGTTTGAAACTATGAAATGCTGCAACCGGACATATGATCAGGCTAGAGGAAATGAAAGAAGTACCAGAAATGCTGAAATCTCCAACTTGGCAATGAGTTTGATCTAAAAAGTTTGAACCAACCAAGGTTAGCTTGAAACTATCCCGGAGCCAGCTACAGGACGGTATCAACCTAGTGACTTCTGCATAGGAGTAGTACTCAAGTACAAAGGAACCAATCTCGAAAGCAGATCCAGGTATCCTCACAGAAAAGTTGAAGACGCCTGTGACACTCTGAGGCGGTGAGAAGAACTCATACAATCCATTGCTAGATCTGTTCTTCGTGACTGATACCGAAAACTGCCCTAAACTGACATTTATGCTATACTTGTCTTTGTTGAAATCTCCATCTAGTCTAATACGAATACCTCCTTGGAGTGGAGATCTTGTCGGTGAGATAGCTATCGGGGAGCTGCTGAGTTGGGTTTGAAGATTCACGAAAGAGCTTGAACAATTGTATCCTTGTGCACAGACCCTCAGTACTATTCTACCCAGAAATTCTTCCAGACAAGGCAAAGTACAAATAGCAGTGTACTGGTCCAGAAGTCGTAGTGTTGTCCTCATATCATTCATGTAACACGAGCTTGTTTTTGCGTCGAAGTTGAATCCATGCACCGTGATCGCTTCATTCTTGCATAAGACTGCATAAGTTGGGCTTGCACTAAGAATTGTAGTTTCGCTGATGAATGTATACGTCAAGGGACCTAAGTACTCCCATAGCTCAAACCCATACCCAAAGCTTTCGATCCCCGGATCTGTACAAGGGGTGATACAGGTAGCAAGCGACGAAGTCTCTGCTCTTGCTGGAGTTGTACCTGCAAATCCAAAAGTGCACTTGGCATTGATCAAATCAAGGTATTTTCCAAAGATCGTCAATCTCGTCCCACCGAGCGATGGCCCATTGGATGGTTTGATGCTCTGTACTTCAGGCCTGGGGGAAACGCGAGCTTTGTGCTTCATGACGACGCAAGATTGTGAAATGTTGCCCGTGCAGATGCTCAAGGCGATCCATGATGCCTCTCGGTGGATCCCTGACTTACATACCAAACATGATGAGGACAGCCATGCGGCACGAACCTCATGTTTTCCTAAAACGCATTGGTACTCAGAGTATCTCATGAATGCAGACCCAATGATGGTCACATTCACCTCGTATCCCGCCAAGAATGACTGAGGCGTGAAGCTGTATAGGTTGAAGACCTTCTGATACTCGAAAAGCATGGCATTGTTGTTCAATTGCATCCCTTGTGCCATCAGACGGAGAGTCACATTTCCTTCGACCTGGGGTGGACTCAAGCACATCAGCCTAGAAGAAGAGAGTATCTTGCTTTCCATCGCATCCTTATTTCCGAATCTACACCTGAACTCTATCAGGCATCGAGCTATTCGAGATATCCTACTGCCAGAAAATGTTACTCTTGTGCCTCCAAGTGCTTGACCAAAACTTGGATGAAAATGCAGCGGGACAGGCTCTGGTGCACATTCTGCCCAGTCTGAACCTACTTGTATGTAATCGATTCCGTCATTACTCAAGAATAGCAGATTGCTACCACTTTTCATTAAGTATTTCTCATTGAGGACACATCTTACCAGAGAAGAAGAAGAAAAGAGCACACTCGCTGTCAGCTGTTGTCCATCATATGAAAACATGCATTTGGCTGTGCGTTCAAAATTACTGCCAGCAATATGCACTTCAAACGAGTTTCCAGTAAGGATATTGCGGATAGTGCTCGCATGAAGTATTTCAGGCTTTGCAAAATACCCTAGCGTTGTCGCACACAACTGACTCCCGCTTTGACTCTCTTCAAGGTACACAGTCAAACGAGATAGCCTGTGCTGGCGCGGATACTCACATTGCAAAAGTGATGATGTAATATAGACAGCAAGTTCTGAATTTGCTGTGCCAAATCTACAGCTGACTCCTGGTGAAAAGCCCGACCCAGCTATAGTCAATCGGCCTCTGGAGGACAAGAGAACCCGTGACGGGTGTACTGAGCTTATCACACAGTATGACACCACCTCAAGTGCTCGCCTTGATGTACGATACTCTACCTGATTCAAGCTACAGCTTATCACATGTACTCCGGGAGGCAAGACTGGTGTCAAGTCGCAGGTAGCTGTATGCTCGTCTCGAGGAAAACATTGTACTTGGAGTGTCCTTCCTATACTACAATGCAGCATATCTGCTCCAAAGTTTCGACCTTTCAGGGTCAACTGGACAGTTTTGTTGCTCAAAGAAATCCTCGCTGGCTCAACATCTAAAATCATGAGAGGTTCCAAATATTCAAATGGATACAAAGCAGATTTCTTCCCATGATCACCTGCAAGTTGAAAACTCACGGGCCCCTTGTCATGCTTTGGTGAATGGCAGACTACCAGGCTGGCGTTACGCCGCACCAAACCTGGCACTGATACCGTCCCAAATTTACAAGAAACCCTATCCTCTAGGATAGAACTGAGCCTTACAGAGATCTTTGTCCCTCCGCTTGGCGAACATGTTGTCGGTTTATATGAAAGAATCTCGTAGTAGACGTGCGGGTAGTCTAAGTCCATCCCAGATGTAAGCAGACCGCTCGGAGTGCTGATTGCTACTTTGCATTTGCCTGGTTCTCTCTGAGGTACACGGCACAAGATCAAGTTGCCTCGAGCAAAAATGGGCGCTGAAGTACTGTCCCCAATCTTGCACTGTACTTGGGAATGTACTAGGTCGGATGTCAACACAATTCGTAGGGGCACGCCACCTTGAAGTGGCACGCGGGTTGGTGTGAAACTGCTTATTTTGACCAGTCCCTCAACCAAAATATGCATAGATGTAGACAACACCAAGTTACCGTTCATCTTGATTTTCAGGCTGTGATTTCCATCCCTCAGCGTTGTATGATGACAGAGCACCTGGCTCGAAGTGATGACTTGTGCCAAAACTTCATCACGTGCTCCAAAGCAACATTGGTACTCAAAAACAGGTGAAAAAGACGCACCATAGACGGTGATCATGGATTCGCCAATGGTTGAGACAACGGGAAAGGCAGATTGAATACTGGGCGTGCGATAATATTGATACGCGAAAGTACCTTGCTGTTGTCTGCCATCCCGCCGTAGGCTTAGTGACACCTCGAAGATATCCTGGTCAATGTGGGGAAACGGAGGACTGAGACAGACTAAGAGAGTGCTTGACAAGTACTTGAATTGAGAGGACTCTAGATTTCCAAACATACATGTGTCCGTTTGGTGAAAATATTTTCCATGTATTTCAACTCGTGTGTGTAATAGATGATTTCCTTGGCTCGGTCTGATGCTGAAGATTTGTGGTTGTTGATTAGATCGATTTATCTGGATTTCATGAATTGGTATTTTGCATGTATAATTGCTTCTGTTTTCATGATGAGATAGGTACATGATAAAAATTCCTTGCATCTCTCGCAACCATTCAGCTTGACATTGAAAGGTCGTTTTAGTTTTTTGGACGACATGAGCAAATCGCTGTCGGGAGAAACAGTATAAACTGGATTGGAATGCACTGGGCAAGCTTCCCGTAAACAAAAGTGTTTCGTTGTATAAAATGTACTCAAAACTATGACAAAATGTTTTGAATCCAAGTTCTGGAGCATCAGCAACAAACGTTGATGCAAACGATAAATCATTTTTGTGAATTCGAAAGAACATGTGATGGCTCACGAAACCATCTAACCAGAACTGAAAAGAAACAAGATTGAATCTCTTCTGAAAAGCAGAACATGGTTGAAACACTTGACAACTGTATCCCTTTTCGAGATCAAACATTGCCAAAGACTGTCGACCAAACTTGCATGAGGCATTTCCGAGGGTACGAAAGTCACCAGATAAATGAATCGAAACATTGAAAAAGGCATCACAAACTCCAGAAGAAGGCCAGATGCTTGTTACCGATACAGGAAGTAATAGCTCTAGTGTATGCTTTGTGCGAAAGAAGGCTTCAGTTCCAGCCTTCAATCCTATAGTGTAATTTCCACAAGGCAAACCTTCTACTCGACATAAAATTTCAGACCTCGTCAGTACCTCTCCCCTCGATACAAAGTTTCCAACAATGCAATCAAGTTCTTCATCAAGTCGGAATGTGCCCCCTATGACTCGAAAGGTTTTCAACTGTTCGCGTAACCCCCTACTTGGTACGATGCGATCTACATTCCATCCCTCCAAACTTATGTAATGAAAGTCGCTCGTCCTCCACGTTTCCTGTTCCATGTAGAGGGAATAGCTTCCAGGACTGAGGGCTGGTATGATACAGCCCATTGCAGTCGAAGACAAAATCATCAACGGCGTTGCAATCTTAGTATTTCTTACTCGGCATCTTGCGTTGTCGAGTAGATTGGAGAATTGCCCGCTGAAAGTTATCCTGACTTGCGTACTGTGCAAACCGGATGTTGGTCTGATACTGCTTACTTGAATTGTCCAGTCCCGGTAGTACAGGAAAGGAAGAGACGCATACAAGCTCTCTCCCATGTACAGATCTAAAAATGTACCTCCAGAGGACTGTGCAGGAGGTGTAATACACCGCATTATCATACTGTCCAAGTGCGTACACTTGGCAGTGGTAGATCCAAACTTACAAGTATTCGACAGTTCTGTGAGTCCAATGCCAGTAATGTTTACAGCCTGTCCACCTCCCAATCTACTGTAGCTCGGTACAACCCGCCTGACCGCACTCAAGTTTTCTACGTGGAGCATCCCGGAGAAGGAGAACGAATCCATCCCCTCTGATCGGACTCCCAAAAGGTACTGGCCGCAGTTCAAAGGGGGTATTTTCACCATGAGCAATGTAGAACTCATGAAAATTGTGCTCACGGCATGAGCTCCGTTGAGCAAGACATGAATTCTCGCCGTGCTCATGAATTCCACACCGATCATGGATATGGAAGTTCCAACCCGTGATGCTACTCTAGATGGGAAAAAGGAGGAAACATGGACCTCAGTCACGTAGCGGTATGAAAATTTCTGCTTGGCCCCCGGGATATTTTCAGAATCCACAACGAGGGATACAGAGCTTCCATCGAACCATTGTTCTGACCTGCTGGGTGCACTTGGGGACATGCAGTGCATCAAACTTGATGTCATGTACTTTGCACCAACCGATTTCGCGCCAAACCGGCATAACCATTTGTCGTGTTTGCAAAAACCAAGGCCAATTACAGAGACAGTTTCACCACCGGCGAAAGGACCACTGCTTGGTTGAATCAAGTGTACTGCCCAACTTAGACTTCTGGAATATTTCAGTCCATTCCCGCTCAGAATGGTTGTGCCTTCCATGATACCCATCTGCGTGCCTTGAGATGAAGCTGGCGGCACTGTGCAAGTTACGGAGGTTGAGGAAATGCTCAAGGGAAGAGCTGTATCATTGCCAATCAAGCATCTCACGGCCTCGGGCTTACTCAAATCTGCTGCTTGGTAAACAATACACCTACCAGCGTTGGAGATGCAACAGCTTGGGTCTGCCGAGATTATGATCCCAAGATCTACATACTTGTATTCCTCTGACGATGTTGCAACGATGATGCCATCGATGGTTATACTCAATGACACATTTGCTGCATTCTCTGACGGTGGACTGACGCACAGTACAACGGACGATGAGAGCATAGATCCAGAAACCTGTATCTTTCCAAATTGACAAACCACTGAGCCCTCGACGTCAAGTTCTGTGCTCAAGGTAAGCTGCACCGACTGGCCTCCAAGTAGACCGCCAACGGCAGGATGGACCCGCAAAATGAGGCATTGTTGCTTGTAGTAGAATATTGAATGATTAGCATAGCAACAACTCGAGATCCCATCATTTAGAAGCTTCACTTCCACTTCAGCATACGGTTTGAAACTATGAAATGCTGCAACCGGACATATGATCAGGCTAGAGGAAATGAAAGAAGTACCAGAAATGCTGAAATCTCCAACTTGGCAATGAGTTTGATCTAAAAAGTTTGAACCAACCAAGGTTAGCTTGAAACTATCCCGGAGCCAGCTACAGGACGGTATCAACCTAGTGACTTCTGCATAGGAGTAGTACTCAAGTGCAAAGGAACCAATCTCGAAAGCAGATCCAGGTATCCTCACAGAAAAGTTGAAGACGCCTGTGACACTCTGAGGCGGTGAGAAGAACTCATACAATCCATTGCTAGATCTGTTCTTCGTGACTGATACCGAAAACTGCCCTAAACTGACATTTATGCTATACTTGTCTTTGTTGAAATCTCCATCTAGTCTAATACGAATACCTCCTTGGAGTGGAGATCTTGTCGGTGAGATAGCTATCGGGGAGCTGCTGAGTTGGGTTTGAAGATTCACGAAAGAGCTTGAACAATTGTATCCTTGTGCACAGACCCTCAGTACTATTCTACCCAGAAATTCTTCCAGACAAGGCAAAGTACAAATAGCAGTGTACTGGTCCAGAAGTCGTAGTGTTGTCCTCATATCATTCATGTAACACGAGCTTGTTTTTGCGTCGAAGTTGAATCCATGCACCGTGATCGCTTCATTCTTGCATAAGACTGCATAAGTTGGGCTTGCACTAAGAATTGTAGTTTCGCTGATGAATGTATACGTCAAGGGACCTAAGTACTCCCATAGCTCAAACCCATACCCAAAGCTTTCGATCCCCGGATCTGTACAAGGGGTGATACAGGTAGCAAGCGACGAAGTCTCTGCTCTTGCTGGAGTTGTACCTGCAAATCCAAAAGTGCACTTGGCATTGATCAAATCAAGGTATTTTCCAAAGATCGTCAATCTCGTCCCACCGAGCGATGGCCCATTGGATGGTTTGATGCTCTGTACTTCAGGCCTGGGGGAAACGCGAGCTTTGTGCTTCATGACGACGCAAGATTGTGAAATGTTGCCCGTGCAGATGCTCAAGGCGATCCATGATGCCTCTCGGTGGATCCCTGACTTACATACCAAACATGATGAGGACAGCCATGCGGCACGAACCTCATGTTTTCCTAAAACGCATTGGTACTCAGAGTATCTCATGAATGCAGACCCAATGATGGTCACATTCACCTCGTATCCCGCCAAGAATGACTGAGGCGTGAAGCTGTATAGGTTGAAGACCTTCTGATACTCGAAAAGCATGGCATTGTTGTTCAATTGCATCCCTTGTGCCATCAGACGGAGAGTCACATTTCCTTCGACCTGGGGTGGACTCAAGCACATCAGCCTAGAAGAAGAGAGTATCTTGCTTTCCATCGCATCCTTATTTCCGAATCTACACCTGAACTCTATCAGGCATCGAGCTATTCGAGATATCCTACTGCCAGAAAATGTTACTCTTGTGCCTCCAAGTGCTTGACCAAAACTTGGATGAAAATGCAGCGGGACAGGCTCTGGTGCACATTCTGCCCAGTCTGAACCTACTTGTATGTAATCGATTCCGTCATTACTCAAGAATAGCAGATTGCTACCACTTTTCATTAAGTATTTCTCATTGAGGACACATCTTACCAGAGAAGAAGAAGAAAAGAGCACACTCGCTGTCAGCTGTTGTCCATCATATGAAAACATGCATTTGGCTGTGCGTTCAAAATTACTGCCAGCAATATGCACTTCAAACGAGTTTCCAGTAAGGATATTGCGGATAGTGCTCGCATGAAGTATTTCAGGCTTTGCAAAATACCCTAGCGTTGTCGCACACAACTGACTCCCGCTTTGACTCTCTTCAAGGTACACAGTCAAACGAGATAGCCTGTGCTGGCGCGGATACTCACATTGCAAAAGTGATGATGTAATATAGACAGCAAGTTCTGAATTTGCTGTGCCAAATCTACAGCTGACTCCTGGTGAAAAGCCCGACCCAGCTATAGTCAATCGGCCTCTGGAGGACAAGAGAACCCGTGACGGGTGTACTGAGCTTATCACACAGTATGACACCACCTCAAGTGCTCGCCTTGATGTACGATACTCTACCTGATTCAAGCTACAGCTTATCACATGTACTCCGGGAGGCAAGACTGGTGTCAAGTCGCAGGTAGCTGTATGCTCGTCTCGAGGAAAACATTGTACTTGGAGTGTCCTTCCTATACTACAATGCAGCATATCTGCTCCAAAGTTTCGACCTTTCAGGGTCAACTGGACAGTTTTGTTGCTCAAAGAAATCCTCGCTGGCTCAACATCTAAAATCATGAGAGGTTCCAAATATTCAAATGGATACAAAGCAGATTTCTTCCCATGATCACCTGCAAGTTGAAAACTCACGGGCCCCTTGTCATGCTTTGGTGAATGGCAGACTACCAGGCTGGCGTTACGCCGCACCAAACCTGGCACTGATACCGTCCCAAATTTACAAGAAACCCTATCCTCTAGGATAGAACTGAGCCTTACAGAGATCTTTGTCCCTCCGCTTGGCGAACATGTTGTCGGTTTATATGAAAGAATCTCGTAGTAGACGTGCGGGTAGTCTAAGTCCATCCCAGATGTAAGCAGACCGCTCGGAGTGCTGATTGCTACTTTGCATTTGCCTGGTTCTCTCTGAGGTACACGGCACAAGATCAAGTTGCCTCGAGCAAAAATGGGCGCTGAAGTACTGTCCCCAATCTTGCACTGTACTTGGGAATGTACTAGGTCGGATGTCAACACAATTCGTAGGGGCACGCCACCTTGAAGTGGCACGCGGGTTGGTGTGAAACTGCTTATTTTGACCAGTCCCTCAACCAAAATATGCATAGATGTAGACAACACCAAGTTACCGTTCATCTTGATTTTCAGGCTGTGATTTCCATCCCTCAGCGTTGTATGATGACAGAGCACCTGGCTCGAAGTGATGACTTGTGCCAAAACTTCATCACGTGCTCCAAAGCAACATTGGTACTCAAAAACAGGTGAAAAAGACGCACCATAGACGGTGATCATGGATTCGCCAATGGTTGAGACAACGGGAAAGGCAGATTGAATACTGGGCGTGCGATAATATTGATACGCGAAAGTACCTTGCTGTTGTCTGCCATCCCGCCGTAGGCTTAGTGACACCTCGAAGATATCCTGGTCAATGTGGGGAAACGGAGGACTGAGACAGACTAAGAGAGTGCTTGACAAGTACTTGAATTGAGAGGACTCTAGATTTCCAAATTGGCAATTTGTATTTGAATCAAAATTGATTCCAATAATAGACACGCGATTGATTCTGTTGAGGAATCCAAAAGTTGGTTTGATAAGGTAAAGGTAAATTTCAGATTCTGGATTTTCAAGGCATGAAACAAGAAAAAAATGTTGTGACCAAAAAGCATAGTCAAGACCTGCAAAAGAAGCACCAACTGTATATTTCCCACAGGCTAAGTTTGAAAATGCGCACAAAAGCTTAGTGCTGGAGACCAGTGAAGTTTCAAGCATGTTGCTGGATCCAATGTGCAAGAAAACTTTGCTTCCACCGCTCACAAAAGAGTCTCCATATACGGTCAAGACCCTCGCATCTTGGTTTGATACTACTGAAGGGATTATCTTCATGATCATGGGACTTTCATAGTGGTATAGCATCAGTCCATTCGTCGTATACTGCAAAGCGTTGAAAACAAGCTTCACTTCCACGTTTTTCCTGTCTCTTGGAGCCGATGATTTGCAAAGGGCTACTGATGTACTACGTACCTCCGCGTCGACCTTCACCTCCTGCCCTAACATGCAGATGGCACCCGATTTGTCGAACCCACTGCCCACTATTCGAATCATGCTGATTCCTGACGAGGTCCACGTGCTCGGGTTTAAAGACATGATTCGTGGAGCTTCAAGAAAGGCAAACGTGACGCCCGTGGAAAATTGGTGCTCTGCTTCTTCTATGCGCAAGACTACATCACCAGGCAAATGCGCTGGGGTCGTACACGAGAGAATGCTGCTACTTTCTAAGACTGCTACCGCACTTTGATTCCCAAAATGACAAAGCAAAGCAGAAGAAAGGACAGGCGTCGTACGTACTTGCACAACTGTCTTGACAGAAGAAACTGCGACGCTTGGATAGATGGAGAGGATGATCACTTGTGACGTATACATAAAGGGAATCTTGTTCAACGAATAATCTACACCATTGCTGCTTACATCCAAGTACACCTCCCCCGCACGATTTGCTGGACACCGACAAATCAAAAGCCGAGCTGAGACTGAGACCCCATCCTCTCCGCTAGAGCCAAATCTACATACAGCATCTTCACTAGCTGTGAAATGCTCTCCAATCACAGTCACAAGAAGACCCCCGTGCTCAGGACAGACCGATGGCTGAACTCGGAGTATCAGCTCCGGTTCTTTGTACAGGTATCTGCCAAACACAACTTGCGACTGTTCACCACTACCTGAAACAACTTCAACAGTCACAGGACCAGCTCTACCTGCAGGCGTCCTGCATTGCAGAACAGTTGAGCTCAACACTTGGGTTTCAAAAAGCCCACTAGAGTGACTGAACGTGACGTAACTGAAAGATTGCAGCCCTTCAGAAATCAAACGGACAAGAGAATGACCCAGTGTTGGGCCATAGGAAGGATATATCTTCCTTGCTTTCAGGTCAGATTGGGGGTTGGAGGTTGGAGAAACAGTTCGGAAACGATTGATGCGAACTACGGTGCCAACTTCAAAGAAATGAGAATACATTAATGAATTTTGGTCTACATCAATGATTTGAAGGGTGTGGTTTCCTGTAGTTTGAATGTGAGCAGCACAAAGGATGGATGTTTGGCTCAAGAACAATGCAGTGAACGAAATTTTTGAGCCCCATATGCATTCTATGGATGCTTCCTTTCTAAAATGTTTTCCAAAGATGGTGATGAATTTGTCATTGGACAATGAAAGCGTTGTTGGAAAAATTGAAGAAACGGATGGAGAAAGGAGATCGCGATTCAAAGTGAGAGAGATGTTCAGAGAATTTCCTCTATTTTGGAAAGAAATCTGAAGATGGCAATGGACCTGCTGAACTGGAGGAATTTGAACTTTCAAGATTGACGAGGATTGCAAAAAGCATGCTGGTTGCAAAAGTTTTGGACAGGTGAGATTGCATGAGGGAAATTGAAGAAACCCGAAATTGCCTATGATGGTAAGGACAAACCCAGAGCTTGGCTTCAGCAACGGTTTCAATGAAAAAATTTCGGCTTCCGTATATCGAAAAGACAAGTGTGAAGAAGTATAGAAGCTGTGAGACCCGAATTGAAACCCCAGGTGGAATGGCAAGGGATTTAAGGGAGCAAATTCAATTTTTGGCCTGAGACAGTGGATTAAAGTAGAGGAGGAGGGCATGACAGGTTCAGAAATGTGCTGACCAAACTTGCATAGAACGAATGAATTTTTCGCAAAACCGATTCCGTACACCGATACATTTGATCTACCGAAAATTGCAGAGATTGTTGGAAAAATCTTAAAGATCCTGGGTCCATTTTGAATCGTCAATTTTGAATGATTCCACAGTTTTCCATCAATACTGATAGAAATAGTCTCCAATAATTCAGTCGAGGATGGACAAGGGCATTTCACCGCAGTTGAGGTAATAATTTGTAAAAGGCTTGGCAACGCCTTGTTTACTTTGCATGAAAGGAATTCTGTGTCCAAAAAATTATTCCCGACAATAGTCAGGTCAGCACCAACTCTGCAGATGGGAACTGATGGCATGACAGCAGTGATAATCACAGGATCATAAACTTCCAATAGCAGGTCTGAGGCACAAATATCAGAAGAGTTCAGTACCATCGAAAACTTGTAGCTTCCTGATGTCAGCGGAGGTAGATTGCATCTCAATACAGACACTGAAAACAAGGCTGTAGGAACTTGAAGAATTCCAAATACGCAAAATGATATATTTTCCAGGAACATGCCTACAACAAAAATTTCAGATTCAACACCTGTACGAATTTGCCTTGGATAGATTCTCTCTATCACTGTATCTTTGTAGTATTGAAAACGCAGTTTCCGGGAGGTACAAACGTTGTCGAATCTGATCATAAAATCGATGGATTCTGCTAAGACATGCCTTGGGACAAAACAGAACAGAGTTTCTCTGTCTTGAGTGTACAAAGGAACCAACTTGTTTCCAAACACACATTTTATGCTATGGTTTGTCGTGCTATACAATGGTATCGTCACAAAAACTTTTGATCCACCTTGAAATGGTCCTTTCGTCGGGTATATAGTGATGTCTTGCAAAAACGATGTCACAGTCATTGCAAATGGTGTCTCGATAAAATCAATGTGATTCCATGTCAAGAAAATTGAAAAATTCCCTTCCTGTTGAATATTAATGAAACAACTCATCATCGAAGAGCTCAAGCAATTTGCTGATGTTGAGAAATATTGTCCAATTTTGCATCTCAATTTCTGATGACAATCGAAACCAGCACCGCGCAAGATCAACTTTGTCGGGAGGCTCTGGCAAGTCTGTGCGGGACTGACAGATGCCCATGAAATTGGAGAATTTTCTAAGAGCAAATTTACACCTGCTTTTCCAGCATCTTTCTGACATTCTGCTCGGATTCCAAGAATTTCAGAGTGTAGCTCGGACCGTAGATTGCATCTGAATTCTTGGAAAGGATACTTTCTGGCAAAATATACATTTTCCCAACGTGACACAGAGCTATTTCACAGTAACTATCAAATTTAAACGAAACTGTTGTGTCTCCCTTGTCACCATACAAGTTATACTTCAGATTCAAAGGAATTGGAATGGGATTAATTTCTATTTGAACGGTGTAAATATTCGTTGTTGCAAATATTTCATGCCAAAATTCAACTGAAACGTCTCTTCGTGGGTATGGAATTTCAACTGAAACTTCGATGTGTAAAGCATCCAACGGAGCAAGAGGCACGCCAAGCTCTTTGGATTGAAAATGAAGTTTGCCCGGAAAATCAAGGACAGAAGGATGCAAGTCAATGATCAATCTTGAAATTTCAAAATCAAACTTGACTGAGAAAAATGACAAAGGAATCAAAGAATTCCACACAAAGGTAGGAGGATCAGAATCCTCCAACGTGCTACAGTTTGAAAGAATAACAAGTTTTTGCAATGGATGAGATGAATTCCTCAAAGCGCACTTTAATCGCGTTTCTGAGATTTCCAAAGGCAAAATAACAAGAGAATCATTGAACAAGCAACAAATTTGTCTTGAAAATCCCTTGCCTACAATGTCTATTGTGGTATGATTGACATGATAAAAAACTTGTTCTATCACCAGATTGTCAAAGTATTGGAAATTAATCGGTGAATCACTGCATATTGCTCCATCCACATTCAAGAACGAAATCACTTCCATCGACAAATTTTTCCAGATAGGCGTGAAAAAACTGATTGTATTCCCAATTAATGTACAATTCAAAAGAAAGTCCCCCCATGTCATTTGTAGAAGTCTTCCAGAAATAGGATACTGATAGATCAATTTGATCAATGTTCCACCTGAAGCTGGCCCTTTGCTTGGAAAATATGATACATAGCGTTGACAAATTACTGCTTGTAAACGAAATATGTTACTCAATGTTTCTTGCGAATGCGTGACCGATATTCCCCTTAACAAAGTTGCGGAACTGTTTGGAAGCTTGCAAATCACCTGATTAATAGTGACATCAAAAGCAACGACATCAAACAGAATTCCATTCAATCCATGAAATCTGCAAGAATATCTTACAGTCGGTTCAAAGCCAGTCCCTAACAAACTGATCATCATTCCCTGCACAAGTTGAGCTGTCGCTGGATGAACAGCCTTGAGCTCAATATGAGGATATACATTCAGGTGCAGATTTTCGTAGCCGATGACAATTCCGTCAAACATCAAATTGATTGAAAAATTGCCGTATTCCAAAGCAGGATTCTGACAAAGGACAAGACTTGTCGTGATAACACTCGCCTGGCTGGTCATCGAAATGCCAAAAACGCAAGATAAGTTCAGATTCCTTTGAAACGAGTGACCAACAATGGTTAAATGAGTTTGTGAAGAGCTGGGTACCGTTGACGGACGAATTTGTAATAGATGCCAGTATGGTAAAATATAGACGGGCGCAGGGAACTCCAAACAGGTCGCAAGACTGTTCTCACATATCTCGACGGTAAGATTCCTTTCTTTGAGAACCGGAATTGAACATGCAACATGAGATGAGGACGAAACCTCAACTGGTACAACCCGATCAAATGCACGGCAAAACAATCGCAAACCAGTGTCAGGAAATACCCCCAAGATTTTCACTTCACAGTTACTACCAACGACACAAATACTTGGAATCATTTGCAAAAGCTCAAAATCATGTAAACGAGAAAGTTTATCGCTATTTGGATATTCGAGAGGATTCGATGAGAAGCCGTTTGACACAGGCAACCTTTGCAAAGACGAAGAGGAATCCAGAAATCCAAGCACCTCAATCCAATGTAAACCACGGATGTCGTGCAACGAGTTCTCCCCATCCGTCATTGAGACTTTGACATAATGTTTTCCGGGTGACAGATGAGGAACTTGAACGATAATTTCAGAGGATGAAAGAACCCAATAAGTCGTATTGTGATGTCCTGCAAGATTCACTACATAGCTCTCATCATTGAAGAGACCTGTTATTGTTACTAGCGAGTTCACAAAGACTTTGCGGGGAGATATAAAATAGATGATAGGCTGTAAGGATCGTACTATCACTCGGTTACTTACTTCTTGCATCTCAAAATTGAAGATTTCAAGGTCGATACCAGCAGCACGCATGGTCGGTATAAAACAAAATATACATGAGGAACTGATTACCGAAGCAGCCTTTTGGAAGTGACGGTCAAACTTGCAGAAAAGTAGATCTCCAGTAGGAAACCCATTCCCAATTACCTTCAATCTACCAGATCGAAACAGAGGATAGGTGTCCACGTACATGATTTCCATCCTATCTTGATAATAAAATTTCTCATTCAATACGATGACTTCGTTAAAAATCATCTTGAATGAAACTAAGCCCGTTTTGGATGGTGGTGTCACGCAAACAGCAGAGGAAGAAGAAGTAACTGAAAGTTTGACACTGACGTTGCCAAAGAAACAACTCCCAATGCCTGCATCGAACCAGAAACCCTTTAGAGAAACGCTGGTACCACCTTGCAAAGACCCAGAACACGGGTGAAATTGAATCAGTGAATCCTTCATAACACTAATTAGGATAGAATTACTCCGAACACCCCTCTCAAACGACAAAAAAACGGAGAAATTGCCCATATTTTGAAACATGGGAATTGAGCACAAAAGCTTAGTGCTGGAGACCAGTGAAGTTTCAAGCATGTTGCTGGATCCAATGTGCAAGAAAACTTTGCTTCCACCGCTCACAAAAGAGTCTCCATATACGGTCAAGACCCTCGCATCTTGGTTTGATACTACTGAAGGGATTATCTTCATGATCATGGGACTTTCATAGTGGTATAGCATCAGTCCATTCGTCGTATACTGCAAAGCGTTGAAAACAAGCTTCACTTCCACGTTTTTCCTGTCTCTTGGAGCCGATGATTTGCAAAGGGCTACTGATGTACTACGTACCTCCGCGTCGACCTTCACCTCCTGCCCTAACATGCAGATGGCACCCGATTTGTCGAACCCACTGCCCACTATTCGAATCATGCTGATTCCTGACGAGCACGTGCTCGGGTTTAAAGACATGATTCGTGGAGCTTCAAGAAAGGCAAACGTGACGCCCGTGGAAAATTGGTGCTCTGCTTCTTCTATGCGCAAGACTACATCACCAGGCAAATGCGCTGGGGTCGTACACGAGAGAATGCTGCTACTTTCTAAGACTGCTACCGCACTTTGATTCCCAAAATGACAAAGCAAAGCAGAAGAAAGGACAGGCGTCGTACGTACTTGCACAACTGTCTTGACAGAAGAAACTGCGACGCTTGGATAGATGGAGAGGATGATCACTTGTGACGTATACATAAAGGGAATCTTGTTCAACGAATAATCTACACCATTGCTGCTTACATCCAAGTACACCTCCCCCGCACGATTTGCTGGACACCGACAAATCAAAAGCCGAGCTGAGACTGAGACCCCATCCTCTCCGCTAGAGCCAAATCTACATACAGCATCTTCACTAGCTGTGAAATGCTCTCCAATCACAGTCACAAGAAGACCCCCGTGCTCAGGACAGACCGATGGCTGAACTCGGAGTATCAGCTCCGGTTCTTTGTACAGGTATCTGCCAAACACAACTTGCGACTGTTCACCACTACCTGAAACAACTTCAACAGTCACAGGACCAGCTCTACCTGCAGGCGTCCTGCATTGCAGAACAGTTGAGCTCAACACTTGGGTTTCAAAAAGCCCACTAGAGTGACTGAACGTGACGTAACTGAAAGATTGCAGCCCTTCAGAAATCAAACGGACAAGAGAATGACCCAGTGTTGGGCCAATGGAGGGTGAAATTCGAAGCATATCAACTCCCCTGGAGGTTTGGATCCTAGATTTCCTGGGTTCTTCAATGAGCAGAGGTAGATTGTGATGAATGGACCCAAGTAGGTCAGAACGTGCACTCGATGTTGGGGTTTTAACACTTTCTTGTCTGACTTCTCTCGTGCCCTTATGCTGGATAAGTTGAAGTCCCGAAATATCAGGAGGTACATCCATACAAATTTGCGAATCAATGAAATCAAGCTCATTTGTTGTTACAGAGAGAGAAATATTTCTTGACTGACGCAAACTGCAAGTGCATGCAATAGTTGTTCTTGTGACTCTCTTTGCAGGATATAGCTCATACTTGTTTCCAATTTTACAAGCAAATTGTATGCCTTCAGGGAAGAAAGCACTGTGCAACAGAAAGTTTATCCTATTTGAGTCCTTTTCAAGAGCCCATTCTACTTGATCTATTTGGAATTCATCATAGAACCTGTAAAACAGATTGCTTGAAAAGCGAATCGCACTGACTGAAAATTCAAGTGCATAGGTGCCATTCTTACTTCCGGGAATCAGACATGATAAAATCGATGATGAAATCGATTTCATCTGCACAATTTGTAAATTGTTCACGAACATTCGAATACCATTCAAGACCTGGTCCTTAAAATATACACGTACAATGTTATTTTTTGAAGATGGCCCAATCGAAGGACGGATTTCCAGAAACACTGCCGAATCAATAATTTCAAATGGAAATGGATGGCTGAAACTAGAATCTGTGATGCTCCACAAGGTCAAATTGAACCTTCCCACTTGATTTACTGGAGGCAAAACGCACAACGCAACTGTCGAGCTAAATATTGTGATTGGAACATATCTCGAGTCAAATGCGACGCGTAGGGTGTCATCATGAATGAAGTTCTTTCCAAGAATGGAGACTTCTGAATTGCTATTTGTCACTCCAATTGAAGGAATGATTGTAGATGCTACGATCTCTTGATGCAAAATGACGGACAGATTGAAACCAGTTTTCATCTCATAATAATCATTTGTCAAGATCAATTCGAATGAACCAGTTTCATTCAAAACGCAACAGCAGGTCAATGACGTAAGGGATTGTCGCTGTGAAGCAAATTGAATCGACGCTACTCTGCAAAATGTATCAACATCATCAAAATGATTTCCTTTGACAGTAATGCAAGTCAACACATTTTTGCTCATTCGAAGAGGATGCACTGAAAAAATCTGACTTGTCACATTGTCAACAACAAAAATCCCCTCAGCTATCAGTGAATTGCTACCATTATTGTATACGTAAATTCTGCTGGTGCCAATCTCTGCAGGCGGAGCAAAACAACAAATTTGACCGTCTGCCCAGAAAACAGGAATAACGGCTGTGCAAATTCGACTATCACAGAACTTACACATGGCTTTACCAAGGTGAAATCCAGAACCTACCACGGTGACAAGAATTCCGCCAGTGTATGGGCCCGAACTTGGTGATACAAAATTCAGTTGTGGAGCCTCTTCAAACTGAAAACTCCGCTTAAATTCAGAGTAGACGAACCCATTGATTGCAATGGCAAATTCAACCTTCCCGGGTGGAGATGGAGGTGAAGTACATCGCAAAGTTGATTGATTTAACACTTCAGCCATAACAGACACATTCCCAAAATTGCATTCAAAATTTGGCCCTTCAAGAAATTCCTGACCATGTACAACAACATATGTTCCGCCAGACAACGCACTGAAAGTTGGATCAATGTTCATGAAAATCAGAGAATCTTTCAAGAAGAATTGAAGCGAATTGCGAGAAGCGCGTGTAACATTTTGAGAAATCCATATTTCCTTTGAAGCTTCGCATGAAATTGTCAAAATAGTGCATTTTATGCTAGTTGAGGTCATATACGAAGCAGGAGAGCTGATCTTATCATTTCCGCAAATCAAGTCCGTCAGATTTGAGAACGATGATCCTATCAGAGTTACTTGGTTCTGAGTTCGACAATACCCAATGCTTGGTTGAATGCCAAATAGAATGAATAGTTTTACAACCTCGATTTTTACAACAGATGTAATGGAGCTTGATGAAATTTGCACTTCGACCAAACCTGCATACAACGCAGGCAGTAAACAATTTGGTGGGAAAGTCGATGATTTCGATCCAGTTATCCAGTTTTCGAGTAATTTGCATTGAAAGGAATCATTTGAGCCTAGTCCAAGGATATAGATCCGTGACGATTGCCCTTCAAAGAGTACTCGGGGATACACGTCAAGATGTGTAGTTGAATTGTAAAATACGAAATCGAAGCCAGCGAGAAGATCGGGATAGTCTTTGATGCTGACAATAAGCCTTGTCATGCCAGGTGCAAACATCGGTGAAATACAAACTATCAGGCTAGATGTCAATGTAGTTGATTTTGCAGAAGACCCATTAATGTTAATCAGGAACTCCCCTTCAAAATTGATACCGAGAACGGTAATTGTGTTGCTTTCCCATGCTAGACCTGTCTGAGGTGAAATGCTATCAACTTTGACCATGGGGAGTACTACGAAGCTTCCCGAATACTTTAAATTGTTACCATTTTCGGTGATAAGGGCAAGGGAAACATTCGAAGAACTGAGAAAGTCAGCATGACAAACAATCATCGAGGAGCTTCGAATTCCACTCGTTGGCAAGGAAACATGCCCAAGCTTGCACCAAACCCTTTCATAAACGGGAAGCCATGAGCCAAAAATAGTGAGTTGGAATGATAATCCGGCAAATGCAAGCGAAGGTTTGAGCGTGTCTATCTTGGGATCAGGAGACGAGTTGATCTGCAAGAATGATTCGCTTTCTCTGCCATCAGAAATCACGTGAACAAGGAGATAATCATAAGGTTCCATCATTGTTGGTAACATACATCGCACTTCCGACGATGACTTGATTTCTGCCGGCTCAAGAATTGTAGTATTAAATCGACAAAATACCGCATCGCCAAACAAATCTGATCCTATGATTGTAACTTTGTTGCTGCTCAGGAATTGAATTTGCGAAGGCATGACCAACGTCAGCCTAGGAGGCTTATTCAGCTGAAAATTTAAAGTATTGCTCCATGAACTGCTGTACGGATCAAAGACAGTGAGAGTGATGGGCAAAGTTAAATCACGAGGTGAAGAGCACAGCAACGTTGAGCTGCTTTCCATTGTTCCTATGGATGCTTCAGCTCCAAAAAAGCATTGCAAACTGTTTGAATGAAAGTTCTCTCCAACGAGGAGAATCTCGTTCTTGGCGAGGTTCGGTCGGAAGAATTTGAGGATGATAGGTGCTTGGTAAACAAAACGAAATTCAGAAGAATTTTTGGTCAGGTCCAACGAAGACAAATAAAGAAATTTATCTCCATGCCGAGACGATGGCAGAATACAATGGATCACGGACGAGGAGGCATACGCTACATTGAGACGAATTTCCTCCATCATGCATGCTTCCCAGAAATTTAAGTAAAGTCCTGTAAAACTGACTACAAGACCTCCACTAGATGGACCGACAGTAGGGGCAAGACCGAACACGATTGCTTCTTGAATTATCGAGACTTGTAGACTATTGTTGGTAAAATCTACATTGTTGGTTGAAATCTCCAGGCCCACTTGTCCAGGGAGCTCGAAGTCAATCGAACAGAGTAAAAGAGTACTTGAAACAATCGTACCGTCGAAGTTCCGTCCAGACGAGAGTCTACACCATGCTATCCAGGAATTGAAATTAGAGATACATTCTTGGTGAATAAAATTTTCTCCCAAAACTGTTATCACAGAAAGTTTGTTTGCCAATACTATACTTGGAATCAAAGTAATCACTTCCTCCAACAAGTAATACTCATATGAAATTCCCTCTAATTTCGACAAGACCCCATCTATAGCGACAGAAACTTCGTGACATCCAGTCGTTTGGGGAGGCGTCCAACAGATCACGTCAGTTCCATGAAGAGTATAATTCTGAGAAACTTGATCACCAAAAACAAACTCATATCGGATGCCAGACCAGATATTCGAGATGAATTTGAGTGTGACAATAGTTCCTCCGATGGAAGGGCCTAGAGACGGATGCACATCAACAAAAGTGTTGCTGTAATCGAATTCAAGCAGCAATCCGGTGGTCCACAAGTTGATAGTATCGAATCCAAACAGAACTTCGTAGTTTCCTGGAGAAGTGACTAAGTCTGACCGAAATTTTGCTACTGTACTGTTCAAAATTTCAATCGGGTGTACTGCATTGTTCAGTGTTAGCTTCATTTGCCTTGAAACATCAAATCCGTATCCTTGTAAGTATATTTCAAAGGGAAAGTACAACGGAACTTTCATGGGTGCCATGGTAGCTATCTTTGGTAATGCTACAAAATTTAATGGAGAATCGATGTCGAAAAAGTCAGCTTGATTGAATGATATCATCATTGAAGAGTTTTGTACATCTAATTTCGGGGTGCGGCAAACCAGAAAAGATGATGTGATCATCGTTCCAACTGTAGACATTGCTCCAAACTTACAAAGCAAACCATCGGTAAATTTTATCTGCTGATATCCTATCCCAGTGATATTGATAATGTTGTACTGATGGGCCGCCAGTATACTTGGAGTGACAGATAAGACTCTGAAAGATGAATAGTAGTAAAATGAACCTGAATCGACAAACAGATTGCCATCGTTCGAAATTAACATGGGAATGATCCCGCTTTTTGACCTTGGAGAATAGCATTTAAGAAGTGACGAAGACAAGTATACAGCAGGAGAAACCGTATTGGCAAGTTTGCAGCAAAGAACGAGCGTATTTCCAAAGTTCTGACCGACGACAGTAATGGAAGTTCCACCATCCGTTGGGCCCGATGATGGGAAGATGCTATTGACATTCAAAAGTGGCAGAGATTGAAAAGTTAAGGTTTCCAGAGAAAAATCCAATGCGTTATTGGAGGCCCTTATTGTTGTCTGGAAAGTTGACGTGTAGTTATGAATCGGTAAAGTGCAAATTATTGATGTGGAAGTTATCCAGGAAGCATTCACAGTGATAATCTCGTTATCAAATTCTGATTGACAGCTCAGATATGGTGAGCTGATAAAATTTTTGCCAAGTACCGTGATTTTTGTCTTGACGCTGAGAGATCCAAGACTCGGAACAATGGTATACAAAGATATTGTTGGATAGTAATGAAAGTCCTTCATATTTACAGAGGACAAACTTTCATTGGACATAACGGCAAGAGAGATCGTCCTTTCTAGTAGCGAAGGAGGAGTGAGGCAAAAAATTTGGCTATTTGAAACCACAGTAGCACTTCCAAAAAGAATGTCATCAAAAACGCAGAGTATTGAGGTGTTCGATGATACAAAGTTAGAACCAAACACTCTTAGCACAGTGCCTCCGCGTAATGGTCCAAACGTCGGGAAAATTGAATACAGATAGGAATGTTCCGTGTACTCAAGTTCAATGGCACTGGAAGTGTAATCAAACCTGTTATTGCTGACATCCACACTTAACTTGCCGACAAGATTGGAGGGAGCTAGACATGAAATTTGAGAAGATGAAGTATACATGCCAGCACTCTCCACTTCGCCAAATTTACAGAAGACTGAGTCCGAGGGAGAAAAATACATTCCAAATGCAGTGATCACAACACCACCATCCACCGGAGAAAGTGTTGGAAAAATTGAAAACAAACGATGATTCTCTGCCAACCAAAGGTGTCAGATAGCAAAAGCGATTCGAAGTAGCAATTCATCACCTTGATAAGCAAATGCTTGATACGATTGTGAAATATCCACTTTGTTCGAAGTAATTCTGACAGATACTTCAAGGCCTGACTTCTTTGGCGGCGATAGGCATTCCAACTCAGAGGTTGTAATCCATCTCGCTGGAATGTAGGAAATTCCGAACAAACATCCCAAGGAGATACTGTTCGGAAACCATTTTCCGTATATCCTTACCCGAGTGCCTCCCTGTCGTGGGCCTCGGCATGGAAATATCAATGTCACTTGAGTTGGCTCTGCCATGAAAAGGAAATCATTACATACCCAAACGAAATGTCTATAGATTCAAAGTACCTGTGAATTCAAACAACAATTTGTTCATGTTGGAAAGGAATTGGTTGCCATTGATCAGATCGACCGCAACTTTCCCCACTGAATGCGCAGGGGTCTCACAGATGAATTCATTCTCCGAGGAGTAGATGGGGGTAACGATCGCGACCTCCCCGAACCGGCAGAAAGAGTTGTTTGCTGGTAATGAAAAGCCCCTCAGGGTTATAACGGTACCACCAAGCTTTGATCCAAACGTCGGCTCCACGATCCTCAGAATCGGGATGTCAAGGGCATCTTGATTGCTTTGAGCGTCCCAGAGACAGAGAATGAGGAGCAAGGCAATAATCCGTGACATGAAGGGCGTGGGTGTATGTATAGTGTAGGCTACTGTCAAACTCCACAATTTAGAACCACATGGCACCTTGGGGTGGCGATGGCGACGTAATCCTCGCTATAGTCTCTTGCTTGCCTCCTCTTTATTCCCTCTGCACGCATCAGCGGGCGCAACGGTTTTGACCTACTTGATGGAAGATTAAGTCTGGTGGGTCCATCCTCACAAGTACCCCTAGTAGAGACCTTTGACATAGTATTGAAAATGAGGGTAGGGTAATGGTTCATCCTGACGGGTGAGGGGGTAGGGGGCTATCGGTTGATGAAGATAAAAATAAAAAAACTAGCTTGTCATGCACTTTTCACTTTGACGCCGCCCGGCATGCCAGCAGCCCGTCACTGGTGACCGGACTCCGGCCCGGGATGCCACTGAGTCAGCATCCGGGATCATTGTGGCGGCCGGAGTATGTCGACGGTCTTTACTCAAAGATAAGTAAAATCATGATCATTCAGAACCATGGAGCCTCACTGAAGTTACCTTGTTCACTGACTTGAAGTGGCATGGCAACCTGGCTGACCAGCATTTGATTTCAAGTTGAACAAACTGTGACAGTGAGTTGCACCCGGCAGCACTGCGGCAATCCCGGGGACGCGGGCCGAACCGACGGTACTAGTCACCCGACGCCGCCGGGTCAGGAGTCACCTCCCCCCGGCCCCCCGGCCCGGCGGCCCCCCCGCGGGCCCGGCCGGGCCCGGCGAGTCAGAGCCAGCGCGGCCGCCCGCTGGCGCGGCGCTGGCGCGGCGCCCTAACTCTCAATGCCAGGCGGGCCCGGCGTGCCCGGCGACGGCTCTCAAAAGTTTGTGAAAGGCACAATGGCGGGAAGGCAACGTGTGCTGGGAATGCAGCTGCAACAGCCGAAAAGGTTGAGATGATGGTGAAGAGTAGATAGCTATTCTGATAGCTGTCATTCAGTGTATAGAAGAGGGGAGGCATTTTTCCCTCTTTGTGGTCATGGACTCGATTTCCAACAACAGGGAACTTCGCAATGCTGTTGAGGAGCTGATTCAAGAAACGAAGTGCCCCATATGTTTGGATTTCTTGATTGATCCCAGGACTGCACCCTGTCAGCATAACTTTTGCGAAGAGTGCATCTGTGAGTATATCAAAGACAACCATAGCGAGTGTCCATCTTGCAGAACCCCCGGCACAAACCGTCGAACGTTGGCGAAGAACAATACGCTGAAAACGGTGACAGGAATCACGAAGAAGTTGGCCATTGCACTTGGTATGATCAGTCCAGAAACCGAAACACCCAGAGAAGCATTGTGGAAGGCCAGATCGGTCGCCGGGAAGCGGAAAAAACGAGGCAGGCCCCGTCAGCACGCAAAACAAACTGTGGAGGATGTTGCAAATGTAGATGAAGGGGTTAACAACAATGGGCTTGAGAAGGAACATTACCATGCGGCAATGCTGGATGTAGATGAAAGCAACAATGAGGTCAATGGCTCTTACTATGACATTGATTTCGGGCCTTCCCTGGAGATTCCGATAGAGTTTCATGAAGAAAATGATGTAACGGGACTGAGCAGTGCTGTCTCAGAGAAAGTCGGACAACACCAGGAAGTTGTACAGTTGAATGCGGAGACAATGGATGCCATCCTTATTTCTAAAGCTTCGTCCGATCAAAGCTCCCGGATGGAGAAGAATTTCCGTGGCAATGGTGATGAATGTGATTTGTCTACAACTACCGATGAATCCGAAAACACGCCAGATAAGAAGAGTAGAATCACAGAGGGTCCCAATACAATGGATGGCAGAAGGAGTGCTTTGCATGCTACTGTCACGCCTGCTACTGTAAAGAATCCCAAAAAGAGCCACCGAGCATCTCTTTCTCCGGGAACACCACATGCAACCTATATTCGATACGATGGATTATCCACATTGATGACAGAGACTCCAAAGAGAAGGAGCTTTGTCAATGATGAAGTTGAACCAAGTTCCAATTGTCCGAGAGGTATTCGTGAACCCCTTTTGCACATTTTGCTCCTGCCCTCATTAATAGTTTATATTTTCCAGTACCTTTTCGGCCAGTCGTAGCATTTACTGGGATGGGTATAATCTCTTTTTTTTCATCAAGACGCATTGGTTGACAATTCATGAATACAGGTCGAGTAGAGGCGATGGAACTTCGATGTATTGTGCACGTGAAATCACTGTATGACCCATCGGATTGAATTTTTTGACTTTGTAACTCAGGTTCTTGGTGGATCATGCAAGGAAGACGTAGATTCGTCAGTGACTCATATGATTTGTTGTGTAGACGAATCTTTGCTTAGCATAAGAACTTTGAAGTAGTATGCTTCTTGGCTACCGTTGTATTTGACTTCTACCAGGTTTTGTTATGCAATGCTGTGTGGTGTGGAACTCGTGAGTCCCGTATGGCTTCGTCGATGTCAAAAGGCAAAAGGTAACCATCTTGATGATTTTCGCCATCTCACGTTGTATACAAGCATGGTTAAATCCAAATGACAGCGAAATCGTTCGAGGATGTACTGTTGGAAAGAGGAAGCACTTTGGACCCCTCAAGCGTTCGGAAATCCTTTCATTGATGATGCATTCTAGTGTCGACATCTTTGCTCCGGCTAAGGTTCACACGTACAAAGCAACTTCCCTCGATTCTCACTATTTGTCAGCTTGGAGGAAAAAGATTTTGTCTCCTTGACAAGTCGAGAATGAAGAACCCAGATGGAAGTAGTTTGAGCAAACTACTCAGGTATGAAAGTGTGATAGAGCCCCCTGATTGATTCTTTGGAAAGGTTGGCGGGTGGGGAGGAGGTCAGCGAGCCTTCAACAGCTGAGGAAGCCAAAAGCTTGATTGTGCTGGTGAATTCGGAGACTTGCTGTGATTCTGCATTGAATAGAATGCGAAGATTGAGAGCTCAACTCATCAAGGTATGAAATATGTTCGATGACTCCTTGTCGACCTTGAGCAACACGCAGTATGGCTTTGTGATGGATAGCATTAGCATGTTCGAGGTGGCGGAGGATTACATGCAAACCTATCTGTTGGCATGAAACATATATGTAAGAGTTAAGAGCTTCAACTCTCTTCTATTTCATAAAGTATTCGTATACACAATGAACAACTGCTACAGCATACTGTGTCGAATCCTGGGCAAATATTACTTTGATGGATAAGGAATCCAACCAAAGAGACACACCTTTCTCCATCTGTGAAACTGATATTGCATATCTTCCTGAGCATCTGCACGACTGAGAAAATGTCTCAGACGCTTCATCATATTCCATATCATCTGCAAACACAATTACACTTTTGAAGACGAAGGAAGTTACACAGTGACATACCCAAATCCACTTCATGAATATTTGAAGAGCTATTCACAGAGTATACCAGAGACCGATCATAGTTCGACCGCGAAGTTTCGTCTGACAGAATTTCATAGGCTTTTCTTATCCTGATGAATGGCTCCGCTTCTCCTGCCGCACACATCTTATCCGGGTGAAACTTTCTCGCTTTTTCGCGGAAAGCCGATTTTATCTGTGTGCATGGGCTCACAAGCAAACATCTCCATCTCTTTCTCTCACCTCCTCAAGGCTCGCTGAGCAGCTCACACCCAGCTCCTCATACGCATCCCAACCGTGGCTAGCCATATTGCACGGGGCCTGACCGACCCACAGTATGCTTTTTATTTGACTGAAAAAGAAGGACACAGTATAGAGGGGACGGGTGGTGAGTATATTACATTTCACGGGCAATTCAAGTAGGGGGTAGATGGGATTGACTACTGGGGTACTCACACTCGTAGGGGGGTGGGTCATACTTGAGAGGGAGAAATGTCGGAGACTCACATACTTGCGAGTGAGCGGATAAGAAAGCGGCTGGCACGTCAAGCCCATGCTCTTGATCCCTCGGTCAAGATCTCAAGCTCAGCTGGTAAAGTTGCCGGATTCATGGTAGATGCATTTGTCCGGGAAACTGTAGCACGAGCCGCTTCTGCTGCGCAGCTTGACGGGTCGAACAAGATTGGGATCCAGCATGTAAGATGTAGAGTATGTTTCATTCCAAAGATCTGACATTAATTCCCCGTTGTTGTTTCTTGTTCTTGCTCTATGCGTGTTTTCTTTTTAAGTTGGAAAAGATTCTTCCTCAGGTACAGGTTGAAAAGTCAAGGCTAAAAAGTGACACTTTCCACAGCTGCTGCTTGATTTTTCATGATTCATTGTTCTCAAATTGAAATGTTGCTTTATCTACCCTCAGACTTCATCTTTGCTAATTCAAGCAGCAGAGGCTTGATATTCTTGCCTTCTGCCTTGTACTGCTCCACGAGAGCTTGAGAGTACCTTTCAAACAGGAGATCTTCCTCTTTGAGTTTCTGCTTGACAAGTTCTTGTTCGCTCAATTCCTCATCCTTCTCACGTTGAAGGAATAAAGTCTTTGCTTTCGCCTGATACACAAACGTCAGTGAGGGTCTTGCAATTCAAACTCCCAGGCACCTGTTTGACATGGTAATTCTTGAGTTCAATTCTCTTCGCTCGTCTGCGTGCCTCCGCAGCTCTGTCTGCAGCGAGTCCAGCCTCGTACTCGGCTTCGAATTTCTTGGCATCGATTTCTCCTTGCTCCCTGTCGAGCCTCTTTTGCTCCGCTTTCTTCTGGAGTTGTGCGGTGTTCAACGCCCGCATCTCTTCCAACTCTCTCCTCAACTTCTCATTCTTGGCGCTCAATTCCGCATCCCGCTTGGCTTCTGCCTCACGAACCTGTCCTGCTATGCGCTCATTCTCATTTTTCCTCAATGATTGCAGATAGGCAACTTGTCGATCAATCATGCGCTGACGAATTCCTTGCTTCTGAGCCATGATCTCAGCTTCTCGTTCTTCTCTCATTCGCGTCTTGCGCTCTTTCTCATCAGCAAAGTATTGAATTCTTCGCTCTTCCTCCTCTTGTGCCTTTTGGTCAGAAATCTTCTTTTCTTCCCGAAGCCGTTGATTATCAAGCATCGTCTTCTTTGCTCGTTCTGCTTCAAGCTTTGAAAAGACAAGTCAGTCAGATAAATTCAAGATGTGAAAATCCAATTAGGAATTACCTTTCTTCGTTCCTGCTCCTTCTGCTTTTCTTCCAAGATGTGAGCTTCAACTCTCTGCTTGATCAGTTCTCCTTCCCGGCGTTCCTCTAACTTTTGAGAGACATATCTTACACGGAAGTCTTCGAGCTGGTCTAATTGGACTTGCTTTGCATGCAATGCACGGTCGAGCGCTTCCTTCTTCTTCTTCTCCTCTTCCTCATCACCAATTTTGACAGCTTCAATGGTTCTTTCATGCCACAGTTTTTCCTCGGCAATTTTTCGTTCCTTAATCTTGCTCTTGATTTCAATCTGCAGCTCACGCTCTTTCATGACATCGCTTAAGTAGAGCTTGCTGCCAAAAGTCTTCACGCGCTCGGTGTTTTCATATAACAGAGCTGTTGCCCTCTGGATGCATTTCTTCCTTTCAGCTGCCTGAAATTCAGCTTCTTCCCGATCTTGAATCCTGCGCTTCTGTTCATATTCTTCAGATTTTGCCATTCTTTCTGCTTCCTTTTGTCTACGCCTTGCTTCCAAGGTATTGTTCCATCCTTCCATGCGTGTTCGTGACATGTCTCGGAGTTTGTCACGAAGTCGATCATCCTGCGAATCATGTTAGAAGAGGACAAGCATAGCAAGAGCGGAGGACCTCAGACTGCAAATTTTGCCCTTGAGTTTTAGCATCTGTATGCAATAGAGTCTTCCGTATACGATCAAGTTCGTCTGATGTCAAAACTGTAGTCTGTCCCAAGGGAATGACAGGCTGCGCGCTCAGGGAGTTGACGGAGAGGCCAGAAGTGCTCCTCGCCATTTCAACAATGAAGCAGTCCAAAAGGATCGGAATAGACTACCCAGGATGAAAGTAGTTGAGAACTTGAATAAGGGAGTATGAGAAAGGAGAAAAGCAAGAGAGTAGAGAAGGATACTCTCAGTCCTGAAGCAGGGACAGAGAGAGGGCAGGAGGGTCAAGGGAGGGGGAGGAAGATCGAGGAACCAAAGCAGCGAGGAGGACGCCAACGGAATGTCAGTTGGAACCATCAACGGCTGTGTAACGTGGAGAAACGGGTTTGTAACTGTAGTTTACCCAGTTGGTAACGGTACCGTGAAACGTCGAATAAAATAGTTTCCATTGTGGTAGGGTGGGAAGGTGGTCGGAGGTAGGGGTGGGTTTGTTGTTGGAGGGCCTGAACCGGTGGGGGTAGAGATGTACGAAAGGGGTAGTCGACGGTAGGTGATTGAAAAATGGTGAAGAGATATCCTGAGGAATGGGCGAGAGGGGAGTTTACTGACTGGAGGAACGAGGATGGAGGGAGGGGATGCTAGTGGAGAAAGCGCACAACAACATAGATGAGAGATGGAAAGAAGATAGGAGAGGAAGGAATACGTGCAGAACAATATCCAGGGTCAATCAGTGCGACGAAACATTTCTGGACCGTGGTAAGCGAGGCAAAGAACAAGAAAGTGAAGAGAAATGTAATGAACTAGAGCAGAGGAAGATGGTCGATTAAGATGGAGCAGAGTAGACGAGTGAGTTGTAGAAGGGAAGAGAGGGATGGAGGGGAATGAAGCGAGAAAAGTGGGATTCCGTTGAAAGAGGAGTGAGATACCATAAAGTGAAGCTTTCTCACGGGTTCAATGGAGGTAGGATTTTCGAGCGATGGATTCAGAAGGTAGGCAGACAGGCAGGTGGAAAAACTCCAATAGAGCATGATACCATGTGAAACTTTAAATATTCAATCAAGATGTTTGCTTTTCCGGATATCTGTGGGGTCGCTAACTGCCAGCTGCAGTGTTGAGTTAGGGTTGAAACTTGAATATCCTTCCTGGGGAGGCAGCTTATTGGGCTCAGCCTCCCCTGCAGGCTTTCAGCTCACAACGAAAAATGGGTGCCACTGAAAGTCGTGAGGACGATCGCTTGTGCGGTTCTTGCAGCGACGAAACTGGTTTTTTCGCCGAGACAGCGTGTGTGAAGAGGAATCATCCTCAAGAACGAGATAAGAGGGAGACTGTGATGACACCAACGGAGCGTTCACGAACAGACACTGTTGAACATCCGTCTCCTCGCCGGCACTATGTGGCTCAGCCCACGCAGGACTCGTGGAGATTTAATGCTTCGGCTGATGAGGCTGTCGGGGTGGGAGCATACTTTGGGCGGCTCGAGGGACAGAATGACAGCGTGGCGAGGGTCAAGAGCCTGGTATCTTTGCCGTTTTGGTGCTCTCTTCAGGTTGTTCACGCCTGATCTTTACAGGTTCCTGGAGGCCCGGCTGAGCAAACAGGGATAATTGAGATAGGCGACGCGCTCTGTGCTGTGGACGACAAGGACGTATACGGCCAGCCACTTTGCGAGCTCGGAAAGCATGTGCTTGGTCCTTCTGGAACAGTGAGAGTATATCGCTCCTCCAAGACATTGTTTGACAAGCCGAGGCAGGTAGTTAAACTGTCCTTCGAGAAGAGGCGGACAGGCGAGCGATACGTAAGACTTTTCTCCTTGCTGTTGGTTATGACAAGAGGTGCATTGCAGGTGACGCATCTTGTGCGCGGCAAGGGCGTCTTAACCGTCATGTAACTGTTGATTTACGATCGGAACGAAATTATTCAGGGGACAGGATTGTTGACGATGGCAATGGAGAATAGAACTTCGCCCTGCGAGCTTCCATTACTCCTGTAAACGACGTGGTGCGACAAACCTTGCTGGTCTCCTTCGCAAGCATGCAGCATCTCTTCGCTGTCTAGTTGCAAGTCAGCCATCCAGCCGAGCCCCTTGTTCACATCTCACCTCCATCACATCATCCCACTCTCCTTCGAGCATCACACCGGAGCTGATTTTCTGACCCTACGAGTCCATCATCCCTCGAATGCGCTCATACGACTCACCTTGATGCCCGTGTTGGCACTTATCGTCTCCTCGAGCGAGGGGAGCAGCTCATCTACAGACATGCCCTGACAGCGATTCACACCCTCACCTTGAGTTCAGGACGCCTTACCGGGGCACTCAGCACCAAGTTCAGGGCGAGATGCATCCCTTTCTCGCTCCTCCGTTCCTTTGATGGTGGTTCCGGCACGGGCTGACGAACCTTCGGCGGGAAGTCAAGGTGCGCCCGAGCGATCTTACTTCATCGGACCTTCTCAACTTCATCCGGTGAAAAGAAATGAACGAAGTTGCTTCCTCCAGCCTATACGGCATCAGAAATTTCCTTCTTTACCTGATACGTACCTTATCAAAGGTAACTTGGACACCAAAGATATCTCCATCCTGTCACAATGATCAGACTGTGTTCCATCCTTCCTAATATAGCAATACATCTTCCGAAATCTCTGACACTCTGCCGCGAAGATCGTCGGTTTGAATCCCTGCATCGCTTTACTGATTTACCCTCAAGTCTCAATAGATTCACCTTCTTGAACAAGCTTTCTTGAAAGCCCAAAAGTCCGAACAAGAATACGCACTTCGTCGCCAACATTTAGTGCTCGAGGAGTCTTATCATCTTCTGATTTCTTCGCTTGGCTTTTTCCCGTGGAGAGTTCAGGTTGATCCGGTTTCAATCCCTCAGTTCCTTTGTTGTCAACCGGCAAAAGACTCAAGAATGAGACTGCAGTAGCATCTGTATCAGGGGTTCTGGCGCGCAGGATTTCCTTCTCGATCTCCTCCAGCTCTGCCTGCCTGCTCTCATTGTCCTGGAAATACCGTTTGTCAATCATGTGCGTTCACCTACATTCTCGCAACCTCGACATCTTCATCATCCAAAACTTCTGACTGCAGCTGCTCATCAAATCGTTGGACTCCTACCAACCTCCATTACAATTTCATAATGCAAATGCAGGGTTTATACCACGATGATTTTGCATGAAAACCTTCATTTGGCGTTGTTTTTCAACATCAGGCTGATTGAGATTCTCTTGCGCAATGCCAAGATTGCGACTGAGCTCTTGGACTCCAGCAGCTAAAGGATGATTTTTCTGGAAAATTTCAAGCTGAGAGCGGGAAACACTCGTGCTTCCTTGATTGTTGCCCTGCTTGAAGTTCTTGACCCTTCGCTGCCAATCCGACTCGTCTGCATTCTCATCTCCCTGCTTTGAAGCCCCGCGACCTAAGTTAGTGCTAGCATAGACTTTTTGTTGCTGCACACGAGTTTCAAGACTCTGCAGGTCGTTGAACTCTCGGAGAACACGAGTTGCCATGTCAAGTTTTGCACCATCAGGCAACACAGAATCGAAAAGCCGAGCCCTTTCGGTCATTGCAGAGCGTGTGGTTGTTTTCCTTGGCATTCCTTCTTGATCTTTGCCTGGCGTTTTTACACAATACACCACCTGATTATTCATCATCAGTTCCTGCTTAGCTTCACAAGATCCTACTTGCCTTTGATGCCGGTGTACGCAACCATGAGTGACTGACGTCTCTGTTCTCCAGAAAACAGAGCCCGCCATCAAAGATACTTTCCACTTTCTTCATCAGAGTCAAGAGAACCTCTGCTGGATGACCTTAAAGTGGAACAGCTCAGATGTTTGAGGCACGCCTGACAACTATTACCTATCATTGTGAAGGCTAGGACTCCACCATCCTCGAGAATTGCATGAAAGTTCTTCATATTTTCCTCCCTCAAGAATTCTTCGGGTGGGGCTGTGCAATGTCCTTCATCGCCTGTGCTGCCAACATCCAGGATGATGAGGTCAAAGGATTTTCCCATGTCCTTCAACTGCGCTACAGTGAGACCCTTGGCTGGTTCTTTTCCGTGCTCACCTTGTGCGCATATTCGCACCCGTTGGCCACAGTCACAGTCAGCCTATCGTCGTCCACTGGAAGAGCAAAGAACTTGCTGGCCATGTCCACAACGACCTCATCGGCCTCAACTGCTTGAAGCTCCTTGAGTCCTGGCATGTTGGCAAGGGACCATCCCACTATCGTGCCGCCCCCCAGCCCTATTACAAGCATCTGCGACTCCAACCTGAACTCCTGCTACATCTTGTGCAAAGGAAGAATTCACCCTTTCAGCGAAAGAAGCAGGAGATCCTCCGCGCTGAATCAATGCAGAGGCAAACGCCAACGCCCTGCCACATTGAAACTCAACATCCAAAGCAGAATTTCAGATTCGATTCAACCTCGATGAATGAAAGGGGAGAACATTCCAGTCTGGACGAAATTCTCCATTCTCTTTTTCTCTCTTCATCTTCATTGCGGATTGCCACACCTGTGGGCTCGAATCGAACCACAGTGCTCTAACAATCTCCTTATCGCTGTCCTGGGAACTGACTAGTTGTCTAACCTGTTGTTCAAACTGATCAGACCTAGCATTTGTGTCTTAAACTCAGCAAAACCTGGACATTGCCGTTGAGTGCACTCCAGCTGGAGGACAGAAGCTCGCCGCTGCTGTCAGTGTTCATCTTGCAGGGTTTACACACTTGAGCTGGAGTTCTACGTCTCCAGGTGAACCCTTGAGAGAAAATTCTAGGATGCGGGACCCAAGCCAGTGCTCTGCCTCCTCGTCCTCCTGCCGTCCTCCCTCGATCTCCTCCCTCAACGGACGCAAGGCTCATGATCAACATCATCGTTCCTAGCATGATCACACGCTGCAGCCACAACATTGCGCTACAGCCTTATATCAGCTTGGCCCTCGTCCCCGCACAAATTTTGCTGCCCTTGCCGGGTGCGAAACGGAAGGTAGCAGATGATGCTGTCTTTTTGGACGAAGTGATGAGTGAAGTTTCAAGTGTCGCAGCAAATGCCATCATGAGCAGCAGCGACGAGGGCGAGCATCTGATTGCGGCTGTGCAACATCAAGCTTGGAATAGAGGCTCCAAGGGACTCGTGAGATTCATATCTATGCAGCCTAGTCTAGCCGCTGCTACTCTCTGCAGTGTGGCTGCTGCCATGCTGTTGTGTGTTTCGATGTACTCTGTTACCGACCACACTTCTGCGTTGGTACAAACAAGCTTTTACCTTCCAATGCACCAGGTACAAATGCTTTCATCCAGCACAGTTCCCAATATGGAGGTCAAATATGATCCAGCAACCGGCGTATTCACCGCGAGAAATCCAGAAACCGGTGCTGTGACAAAAATTGACACTGCTTCGGGAAGCGTGGACACTGTTGCTGACTTTGAAAAGAAACACTTTCAATTTGAAGACGAAGATTCTGACGTGTTAACGCCCGTCAATAGTGGTGATCCGCATACATACTTTCCCGGTTGGAAACAAAGTCCATCTACAACGCATGGCAGATTAGACGGAGTAACAGAGTCTCCAAGATCAGCAGATTTTCGTAGACATTACTCTAACTTTCTCAGGTATGCGATTTAAATGTCAAGTATCAAGTAGTTATGATATTCAGCGAGTTTATTTTGCGCTGACTGCAAGCCTTTGATGATTTTCTTGGCCGTTGTACTTTGTTAGTCAATGAAAAATGTGCTACAGGTATCTTGGAAGCGATGGAGAAGATCCAGAGGAGGCTGCGATCAGGATTTACAACCTTTATCCTTCAGGAGCAAGCGCCTTGGATGGTGATCAAGAGGCATAACTTCTACATAGGTGAAATAAAAATTTGTACCATTATTCTAGATGGGTTTGACTGCGATAGTCATTTGTTTTGTTCGAGTTTGTTTCGTTAGTTTCTTGCTGAGTATCGTGAGCTTCGACTGCATCGCAAGCCGTTCTCTCACTTTCGCAACTCGTTCATCCGTTTGCTTGTTGTTCAAAACAGATGCAAAACATCGCCATGATCTCAGCACGCTTAAACATGGCCATGATCTCAGCATGCAATGTTCTACCTGTGATTTCGCCAGGAAGGATCAGACCGTTGAAAGTTAGATAATTTGCATGAGTCAAGATATGAGTGTGAGAGGAGAAGAATCCAAAAATTGACAAAGCTGTCATTACAAACATCATCACACATACTAATGCAGAACATCATTTGGTTTAATTCCAAATTCTTCCCACGTTTCTTGGAATCTTAGTAAGATCTCGTTGATGAGAGCAAGAATCTTGGCAGTCTGTTTCCATGCACTCTGCTTTTGGCGAGAAGAGCCTCCTCGGCTTTGGGTCCAGAGAACTGATGTACAAATAACGAAAGCGATGTTAGCTCATGAAATCAATAAACAATGTCACTAGAGCCACAAATCATCAAAATCAGTCTCATAGAAGATATATGATATATGTGTCCACCACACTTTCAGGTTAAAGAAAACAGCTTCTTTGCCATCTCCTTGACAAGCATGCATTATGTAGAAGAAATTACCGAGTAATCGTTGTCAACACCAACATGAACGCTGGCCATTTCCATCATTCTTGCTGGTTTTACTGCCTGCAGCTCTGCAGCATCATTCACAGCACAAGCCTTCAAGCGGCAAGCCTCCAGGAGAGCGAACATTTCTGGTCCAAAGCTATTTCTGGAAGCAATCAGGCCTAAGTTCACGTCAAGCTCGCCTCAGTGGCGTCCGGGAGGAGTCCGGCCAGCGCCGGCGGCCCGCCGGGGCGGCCGGGCGGCCGGCGGCGGCCGGAGTCCGGTCCGATCCGCGGGAGGCCCGGTAGCATCAGTGCCGGCTAGTGTACATGTGGCGTGCATCGGCATTTCAGAAGATTGTTCACAAACATAAATCACTAGCAGTCACTAGTATCGCTTGCCAGCGAGAGTCATGACTTGACTTTCATCGTTAGACTTCACGACGACGTCGATGTGATCGAAAGAATCTCCAAGTTCCTCTCCTATCTGAGTTTGCAGAACGACGAGAACAGTAGAGAAAGTCGTCATCTTCTTTCCGATCATGTCTTCCAGCATCTTGCTGACTCGCATGCACCCTTCGCTGTCCAAGTGCTGGGACTGAAGTAAGATGGTGGCATGAATCCTTCAGAACCTACTTGCATGACTTCATCCAGAACCAGGAGGTTACACGAAGTAGCTGTCCGCTCCATGGACCACCTGGAAACATGTCAGTGACGTCAGAAGGACTGCAACAAGATCAACTCAGAGAAGGCAAGAGCAAGAGCCAGGCTCAGCCTGCGCCACTGTCCACCAGACAGCTGATGCAGCGTTCTGCTACTGTATGAGCCATCCTGCATGCGAATCAGGATCTTCCGCTCAACAATCGATCCATCCAGCGCCAGTTGAAGTCTCAGCGAGTCTTCTGAGAGCACCTGATAATGATTTTAGCCAGCTCACTGTAGTGTAACCTGCTTTGACAACCTCAAGGTACTTCTCCGCTCTCTGCTGTAGCTCGAGAATAGCCACTTCGTACACAAAACTTTGTATTCCTTTCTTTCCAAAGATCTCATCAATCTTCTCCCACTGCTTCTGTTGTTGCTCTTGCTACAAACCATACATCACTTCCTTCCTTCCTCTCGTTCTCTCCTGGGTCACCAGGTCACGAGCTTCTTGCAGCTCCAGCATTCGCTGCATGCCGCTCTGCTCAGCCTCCTTGCGCATGTTGACTTCGGCCAGCCATGGGTTCGAGCGATCATACGCTGAGATCGATTTCAGGGCCTCTAAGGGACCTCGAGTGTGTACCTTGTGCTAGTGCGGTCTCCAGCTCCTTCATTTCATGATCTGCGCTCATGGCAAGCTCAAGTCTCGAGCTCGCCTCCTCGAACGCTTGTCTGAGAGGACGGCAGTCAACGAGGAAGGAAGATGATACTCTAAAAGGATTCACCGAGTCTCGCGACACTTCAATCGAGCCTCTGAAAGGTTCTGCTCGAGGCTGATAGCTTGTGAATCGATGCCTGCTATGTCCTTCTGCTCCAGCAGTTGAGTCATCGCACTTCAGTAGGCAGAGGACGCGACCTCGAGCTCAATCACATCAAGGTTGTACGTGGCTTCCAACCCTTGAAGCTGAGCCTTTGCCTCCTCCCACACGGTCTTCTCATGCTTCCAGGTCGTGTGAAGATCCACCTCGTCCTCGAACCTGCTCTCTGGAAGCTTGGCCGCACAGCCCAGCTCAGCCAATTGTTGCTTCCAACCTTCATCACTGAACGAGTTCACCAACTTCCTGAAAGCTTCGTTGCACTCTCCCTGATCGACGGCAGCCGATTCTATCATCAAGCTGCGGAACGTCAGTGCTTGGAGGAGTTGACTCATCCCAACCTGTAGGGATCGACTTCTGCCTCCAGCTCTGTCAGGAGTCTCTTGGCGCTCGTTGAATTCTCCTCAGCTGTCTTGAGGTCCTCCCTCAACTTCTCTTGTACCAGATTCATGTGCACGTAGTGCTCCTCTAGCAGCCTTCTTGCCTAGAAATAGTTCACCCTGTTCTCATCGCATGGGCCACTGCACACCTCCTTCCGTCGCTCGCTTGCCTTGGAGAAGTCTGCTGCAGCCACCTGCATTTCTCGATATTTGACGTCTTTGGTTTGCTTCATCTCGATCACATGATTCATGTGTTGTGAATGGTTGATTGGCTGCGTCAATGTAAGACACACGCACTTCAAGGAGTGCAGGACCTGCAGACAAACATGACAGCTCATCCTATGCTGGAGATTTTCAAGCTCCTCCAGCTGCTGCGAGATCGTCCTCCATGCCTCTTCCAAACGAACGCGGCTGAAGAGAATCACACAATGGCCCAGTCGCTAATGCACTTTCTCACCGGTCAGATACTTCTTCGAAAGTCCTCTCCGTCTCGTTCAACTTTCTCAACAGCATAACTCTCGTGCTCTCCATCTCATTCATCTCTTCTCCAAGCGTCTTGCGATATTTCTCGCAATCGACTTTGGCCTGTTGAAGGAGTTCTTTGGTCTCTAATATTCTCCTCTGAACATCTCCTTTCCATTTCAGGCGTTGTGATTCCACGTCTTCCTTCTTTCGCTCGATTGTATCCATCCTAGCTACAATCGACCCAAGCTCTTCGAGTTTGACTTCCAGTTGTCGCTGCAACATCTGAGCTGAGCTGACCGCTTTCATGTTCTGTGGACGGCTTCAGAGTTGAGAATAGAATGAGAACGTCATACTTTCTTCACTTTGATCTCAAGTTCAGTACGTTTTCTCTGACCATCTAGTCTCAAGTTCTGCAGCTCATCAAGAGATCTGTCGAACTCGTCTTGCGCGGCTTTCATCCTCTCTGAAGCTGTACTCGTCTCCAGCCTTTCATCGATTTCAACAGATGATCAGCTAACCCTGCACCCTCAGCCTCCATCCTCTGGAATTACCTGCAATTGCTTACATCCAACATATTCTTCTGAACTTCTTCTTTCTTGTGCTTTATCTCGTCCGACAGCGTTTGGATCTTTTCTGTTATGGTTCACTCTTGGAGAATCAGGACATCAGCAACAGGGGGCACCTGACATCTCAGTCGACCAGGCGTCCGACTTGCTAATGACGTCCATGCAAGCAGACTTCAACGCTTCTTGCTCAGATTGTCGCTCTAGCAGCCGACCATTGAGCTCATCTGCTTTGGCCTTTGCTTTTTTCTTCCTATCCTTAGCAATTTCCTGAGCCGAAGACCAAATCTCCGACGAGATGACATTGTCAAGAGTTGCCTTGAAGTCTTTGTCAGTCTTGTCAAGAATTCCTGTAATGAGATGTTGTCCATGGAACACAGCGTCAGAGATGACCTGTAGCTCGTCATAAAGGGAACTAGTAGAGCAAGGGAATGACCTGCACAGGGATCAATCGCTCAAGCTCACTCTGCGTGTCCCGCAGCGAGGATTGGGTCAGATCCTGATCTCCCAACTTCAGCTTGAGTGCATGACTCTCCCCCTTTCCTTCAGAAACCCTCCGCTGAACGCTGAACGCCTGCCCATTGACCCTTCCTTTCACAGTCACGCTTGCAGTCACTGACGCTTCCTCTTGGTCTCTTCCTCCTCGAATCTGATGTACAACGTCCTTCCTGCCCAGCCTCTTCCCGTCTGCCCGCACATCCGCAGATCCCGTCAAAGCCCAGAGAGAAGCCATGCAAAGATTCGTCTTCCCCGATCCATTGCTGTCACAACTGGCATAGAGAAGAAAAGTCAGACCCTCAAGGGCTCCTGTTGTCCTTCGCCTTACCTGTTCTCATCCTGGTTTCGACCCATGACTAACACCACACCTCTATCTTCCAACGGATACATGATCTTCTTCTTTGGACCGAAAGAGCAGTACCCCTTCAATTCAACGCTTTCAAACACAACCTCCCTAAATGTCAAGAGTGACTTTCCAAATTGTGATGTTAAAGAAGACCAACCTGTGATTTTGAATGGAAGAATACGACTTCTCTACAAGTACCTCTTGAAGTAGACCACTAGCAGCTTTCTTAATGGCTCCTTCCATCTCACCCAACCCGTCTTGTAGATCAAAAAAGCGGCACAAGAGAGAGGAGGGATCCAGAATATCCGCCTTTGGAATGCGCGCTTGCTTCAGCTCGGGGACCTTCTCTCTGACCTTGAGATTTAAACAAGGATGCATATTAGACTTCAACAGGACTAAAGGATAAGAGCACCTCAAGAGAGACCCCTGATAGGTTGAACTTTGATAACCTCTGACGGGCACCAATGGGGTCGTCGACAGTCAACTGGATTCTGTCTCCAACGCAGGGTTCCCATTTCAAGATTTTCTCCTCAAGCTCGTCGATTGATTTGGCAATATAATGACGACGTCCAATCTGCGGTGACAAGTCAACTCACTCAATATGCAGATGACACAATAACGTGAGAGAAATGGTAAGTCTGAATATTGTATGTGCACCTGCATCGGAATCTCCTCTTCGACCGTCCAGTTCTTATTGGCATTCAAAACGAGGAGAAACTTGTCTTCGTGGGCTTCTGACATAGAAGTTTGGTAAGGCGAGCCAACATACTGGACAGGAAATCTTCGACGATCGTGTGCAGTGCCCCAGAGCTTCTGAGGTCGATGGTAGTGTCCAGTGTAGACGGGAATATCCGCGGGGAAGTCAGATACATTCAGACCTCTTTCTGCTTTCATTCCTAGTCCAAGATCCGCACCAATGACATCAACGTGGCAGAAAAGAGCGGAAACCTCTCCTGGCGGGCAACTCCTGACGATCTGCCTAAATGATTCTGGGCTGCGGGTGTACGGCACCCAAAGCGCACCTAGCAAGATTGAAGGCTTTGAAATGATGTGCCCGGCCGAGAGCACGAGGCCCAAAGGAGTCAGGGCATGAGTTTCGCCATCAAAAGTCGCCTGATCGTGATTACCAGGAAGCGCAAGAACAGGGACTTTCCAGTTTGACAATGCGAGCAAGATTGAATTCAAAGAATCCACCCGTAGTACTCCCTTCTCGTGCCAGAAATCTCCAAGAAATATGACGCCAGCATTTCGTTTCAATGCCTCATGATGAATTGTTTCAAGAACACGAAGGCATGTTTCCAGTGAGTTGCGAGACACATGGAGGTCGCTGAACACTACCCACTTCTCTGGCGGATCGGTCCAGGTCTGATTGAATGGTGTATGAGTGGCGGAGAGAGGAACGGATCTCAGTGTGGGCTCCTCGTCCGAAGACATTGTCATCATAGAGCTGAAATTCTCTCTGTTCCGATGAATGTCTGCTTGCTTCAACACTCTTGTCCAGTGAAAGCCTTCGGATTGGACGTATCCGGAAGGGGCTCTCCCCCTTCCTTTTGGTCTCCTAGATATCTCTTTACCCTGCTCGTCCAAATCTATCAAAAATGCCTTCTTTCGCTTGGAAGGTTTGATCTCTTCCTCTTCATCAAGTGAACCCGACTGATCTCTGGAGCTGTGGTCCGAGTGCGTCGCCCTTGCAATGTGCCGTGACCCACCTCTCAAAACCAACTTGACTTCAGGCAATGCGCTTGTTCGTAGCAAATAGCGAGAAAACACGGAGTTCCCTGGGCAAAACAATCTCTTCCTTGTGGAAGGATGAAGCAAATGCCATGACCCACTTTGCAAAATCGTAAATGGCATGGCAAGAAGGAGGCAATTCCCAAGGATCAAGGAAGTGGATAGCAATGTGCTGAGTGTGCATATTTGAATGTTTCTCCTACCATGATGCCGAAAGATCATCGCCTACCTGCTTTCTCCCACGTAGGTCATCCCCTCCACACTCCTACGCTGACAATCCCTGCGCCCCTGCCATGAGCATATTTCAGTCCGCAAGTTCACCCAGGTTCCGACGGATGGCTCGGCCGCGGGCCGCACGCGGCCGATACCGGGTCGGGCCCCCGGGCCGCCCGCCGCCCGGCCCGGCCCGGCCCGGCGGGGTCCGATCCCGGCGGGGCGGTGACGGTCACTGGCAGCCGCCGAACCTAAAGTTAACTTCTGTAAAAATCATGGGAAGCAACTTTTCTCTTTACAAGCCTGAGTGGATCGGTGGCAATGGTGACTCGGAGGACTTGTGGCCGCAGTGACGGTGGGCCGGGCAGACTTGGGACAACTTGCACTGATAATTTGAGTCACGAGTCAGGCTCCAACGTGACGGTTTACATGCCGCAGTGCGCCGGGGCCCGGCCCGGCGCACTCAGGCTCAGCCTGGCCGCAGCGGCTCCCGCCCGGCGCCCGGGCCTGGCAGTGCAGTGTCACGGCGGCCCGGCCGGGCCTGGCCCCGGGCCGGGCCCCGCGATGCCCTGACCCGGCGCCGCCGCGCGCCCACTGGGGCAGCCGCTGAGCGGCCCCGGCGGCTCACTGCCCGGCCGGGCCCGGGGTGCGGCAGAGTCCGGGCCCCGGTCGGCCCGGCGGCAGGCCGCCGGGGAATCATTGCATTGAGGGGGGTTGATACGACTTAGGAACTTCCTAGGATCCGGAGGCCAAAAAAGAGACACACGCTACCCCTTCTTTTTCCTTTGTAAAATGGGGTAGTGGTAGTTTCTATTGCGTGTCGTTCATTTTTTTGTGTTGAAATGGGGGTAGGGGAGGTCAGATTGAAATGGAGAATAAAGGGTAGGGTGCCCAAATGAAGGGGGTCAGTGCATGATGACAGTGGGATGTGGGATAAGGATTATGATTTCAATTGGAATGCAGGCCTAGTGGAGTTGACTATCCATGAATCATGTGTTTGTAGAGCTCAATTCAGTAGGTGGGGTTGAAATAAAATTGTTCATGGGGTAGGGTAGTTGATCAATCGAGCTCACACGAGATCACAGCGTTTCATGATACCACCATGCAGATACCCTTGTTTGACATGGGAAAAGCACCCGTGTTCCATGACAGTACTCATATGATACCCCAGCCTCCTCATTTACTACCCCACCCCCTTATTGACAGTTCCGTTCTCAACCCCTTTTGTAAAGTACCCACACGATTTGGAACTCACCCCAAATTACACCGACAGTACCCTTTCATTGTAAAGTACTTTTCGTCGAAATCCAACCCCCACCCCCTGTACTTCCACCTTCCCACCCCACCCTATCTCCTTAGAGCAACCTACCTATCTGCCAAACATATGCCTATAGCCCTCGTGCCTGTAGCACCCCATTGCTCCACACCCATTCCCCTGTTCCATACACAGCATCCCGGTACCCTCCAAATATCTGCGGAAAACTTCCATCTCATAAGGTGGGTAGTGCTGCAGGGGGATGGGGTAGGGGGTAGTGGATGGGCGCATCACCTGCTCGGGTGGGGTTCTATCAAAGTCCTTGGACATAGGGTTCTTTGGCAGTAAATTGGAGGGGTGATACCCGCCACAAGGGGGTGATAAAAATCTGGGGGGTAGTGTGAGATTAAGAGGGGGCAGACATGGCCTTCGCCGACAAGCTTCTCCGGACGGCCTTTGCCGCCAACATGCTCTCTCCCGGTTGGTTCTCTTGCTTCTATCTCTTTGTTTGCACCTAGCCCCCAATCATTGTGGTGTATCCTCCTGTGTAGCATTCACCCTGGTCACCACATGGTTGGTTGCAATCGCTATGCGTCGGATCCTCATGCTCCCGAGTATCCCTGCATGGTCTTTGGCCCCCATCAAGGCGACTAATGGATCTAGCTTGTTGTCCTGTGAAATATCTTCTGTAACTAATGTGTATGCTGCACGGCCCCTCACTGTCTTGCTTGTCTAGCACTATTTATGCTGTTTCTCCACTTCGAACACACTTTGCTGGATCTTCATGCTACCGAGTGCTTTTATATCCCCCTTGAGTTCTCCAATTTGCAAGAAGAGAGGAACTTATATTCGTTGGATACTTGTCCGTGTCATTTCACTATGTGATCTTACGATGATTTTTCTTGTTGAATACTCGTCGATTTTTCAACCTCTTGACGAATTTCTCACAGCGCGGAATTCTAAATTATTCCAATACTCAACTTGTGACGTGAATGATTGGCCTTTCGATGAAGAATATTCTGGACTTCGCGAAGAAGAAGAAGAAGAACTAGCGCTTGAATTATCGGATGCTGAGACTCCCGAATTGTCTCTTTGTCAGGACGAGTCACATCGTTCAGTGTCGCCGACTCCTCCATCAAAGCAGCAGAATTGTGCGAAGGATACAAAAGTCAACACGGTATTCCCCAGAAGAAAGGCTGGGCAGAATGTGAGGATGAACAGCAAGCCTGTGGTACTGAGTGAGAGGAACCTGCAAAAACTTTTCAATCTGCCGTTGTACAAGGCTGCCGAGCAACTCGGGATCTGTGCTACTGCGTTGAAATCTGCTTGCAGAAAGCTTGGAATCAAGAAATGGCCTTTCCGAGCTCAGCTGCAGTCTCATTCATCCAATAACAATGTTGTCGCGGAGAAGAATGAAGAAAATGCTGCAGCTGGCAGCGATAATCTCTCGTCTTCTGATAGTAATGGGAGTATGAGCAGCAATAATACTGTTTCATACGGAAGCGACGATCAGAACATGTTCGGTGATCTCGGTGATCCCACAACTGATCTCTCATCGCCATCAAGCCCTTTGTTGGACTCTTGAAGTTCACAGTATGTCATTTCTACTCAACATGGTTGCATTTGTACTGAATGAACTTTGTTGTTGCTTTCGAAGGAGAAAGCCTATCGCATATGTGCATTTAAAATTACCAAACTGAGAGATTCAATGTATCTCCTGCATCCGTATGTAATAAAGCTCAATTTTGAACTCTGGTTGTTTTGTCGTAGCCTTGGATGCCGGTGCGGTCACCAGCCGCGCTGACGGTGATGGCGGGCCTGAGGCTTGACTTTCAGATCGGCGGTCCAACGTTTCGAGCTCACCGTGGCACCGTCCGATGTTAATCGTTTGATAGCTCGCAACTTCGGCTCGATCAACTAGTTGCATCCCCTCTCTCCAATCCGATGGCAAAGCCTCGAGATTTTCTTTGACATTACCTTCACTCTGCTGGCAGGAATCAGTGTTGGAACATCAACAATGCTGCCTCTACTTCTTGTATTTGACCTTGCTGAGGTGAGCTCACTCCCGATGTTGACTGTTTTTACATGTAGCTGCCAGTCGTCCTGGCCGGTTCTATCGACATGACGAATGTCGGCTCAAGGGTATGTGAGCGCTGGACAAGCCTCGTCCCATGAGGACGAGCTAGAGCTGATTGCCGAGATCCAAGACCCCATGCTCAAGGAAAGATTCCTGCACATGATGATGATGAAGGCACGGTGCAATGAAAGTCCAGGTGTCGTCGCTGCCATGATTCAAGCAGCAGAACACCAGGTTTTGATAGACATGAGCCAAATGATCGCAAGCTAAACATCACGAACAGGACCCGCACGTGAGAACAGCAGCAGGTATGAGAAGGTTTCTCTGTCTTGTTGCTCTAATCACAATCAATCCTTCCTCCCAGTGGAGCTGCTGTCGGAGTCCAACATAGTTGGAGAAGTGACCGACGTCCTTGCGAAGGCGCTTGAGGATGAAGACCCCTCTGTCAGGTCAATCACAGCAGTCATACGCAAGGGCCTGAACTAGCTGCAGGCTGCATGCACTTAAGGGTCTCAAGAATGTCTGCGCACGTCAAGAAAACGAGAAGGTTGCGTCGAAAATCCTTTCACTTTCCCAAGATCGCGTGCCTACCATCCGCGAGATGGTTCAGGTGCCTGAAAGATTGAACATTCTTTTTGGCTGAGAGGGAAGAAAACAGGAAGTTATCCTTGCCAGGATCGATTCCTTCACGACGAGCATGCGATGCTCGATGCTCGAGAATGAGCTGGAGAGCATACGCATTGTGAGTCATGTCATCTTAAGCTTGGCCTTGACCCCTTTTGAACTTGCTTAGGCTGCTGTGAGGTCGTTTGAACTGGAGGATCGAGCAGACTCTCGTGTCATGGAAGGCCTGCAACATGCGCTTGTCGATGGGCATCCGGTTGTGCGGATGAATGCCATTCATGTCATTGCGAGGAAGTTGCAGGTTCCAACCCTCATATTACAAATTCCCCTGGAGTTGTGATTCTCCGATTGGAACACTCAGGGATCGTCTCTTGAAACTGTCAAAGGGCACAACACCAACAGTCGTTCAATCGCTCTCAAGAAATCATCGCTGGAGGACGAGGTGAAACCTTTTCTGAGCCACTTCTTTTTGATGTTCACTGTTTCTCAGAGCGAAGATCTGAAAGTGAAGGAGCACTACATGAAGCTACTGATACGGGCATTACGAGATGAATGCGATGATGTCGTCCTTTCCGTACTAGATCATCTCGATTTTGATTCAGTCAAACAAAGTCGAGGACCTGTCAGATCAGCAATTGATTTATTCGCTCATAAGGTGCATGGTTGTATTATTTTTCTGTCCTGACATTTCCAGTCTTCGGCTGTGAGGCGAAAATCGATATCTTGGATCATCAGTGCTGTGAAACAGGTGATAGCATTTTTTGGACATAGGTCATCCTGACACAGCCCATCACCTTCAGACGCTTTCGTCCTCGCAGGACTGGGCATATGATCTTGTACTTGGAATTCTCAAGAACCCCGACACAAAGAATACAGACGAACTTGATAGTGCGGCAGAGGAAGTGCTAGACTAGCTCGAGCTGCTCTGACAGGTGGAGCAGGTCTTGGATGACATCGTCTCTTCAGGAAACTCCCGAATGAAGGATGTTCTGGACCTCCTGCAACACTCCAGTCCTCTCACCAGAGCTGCAAGTACAATTGCAGGCGCCATGATTTGTCCACTTATGATTTGTCAGGCCTCCGAGCACTTCATGGTGCCGTCAGAAACCTGATCAAGCCTGTGCTGTGGAACTCAGGATCAAGCCCAACAGTGATTGGGGCATTGAGGGACGAAGACAAGCGGTAACCCGGCAAATCTTCAATTTCCTCTGATTGTATACAAAGAGTGCGTATCGCCGCCATTGCTTCGCTGTCCAATGTTCCAAGTGGAAACCCCGAAGCCATTCGGCCGCTCCTGAAATGCCTCGAGGACTCAGAGCTGCAAGTGCGGAACCAAGCTGCAGACGTGATTGCTGGAAGTTTGACACGACAAGACCTGCAACTGAAGCTCGAGTTGGTCAGCCTGTTGCGTAAATACTCCGGGGCAGCGCAGGCTGTTACCAAGGGATTCGAGATGGGGGGCAAGTATCTATCCCTCGAAGTTGGGTTCACGGGCAGGAAAGATGCATCGGCTCATGATATCTGTGCAGCAGCCCTTCGTGCACTGCGAGGCCTTGGAGTTCCAGACAGCATCTTGAAACTTGGAGCACATGCAGTCGAGGCAGCAGTTGAACGTCATGCCATTGGCTTCCGTTACGAGCTTCCTCCAAACTTCATGAATCAAAAACATAGCGAAAATCATAAGAGGCGGTAGCCCTCGTCGACCGTATCATGGCCTGTCGTCAGGTTTTGCGATCTCGAGGTAGAATCGCATCTATTGTTAGAATTGCATCCCAGTGTTTCAGGGTAAAAACGTCAAACTCGCTGTACAGGATCTGCTCAAAATAAAAATGAAAAAAGGGCGAAAATTTGGTATTACTCATACCGGTGTCTTGGTTCTTGTCAGGGAGGAGTCGGCTTCGTGTAGAGGTTTGTCCCAAGCTTCGACATTCCTCTCAATGTGATACAACTGCAATTGGCATAAGTCTGGGCTCACTCCACAAGGTGATCACACACCAGGTATCCCTTGCTGTCAAGAAACCTCAAGTAATCTGCAGGGTTATCACCAAGTTCGTTAATCAATCTGGGAGCGAACCTACGAACTCATCATCTGAACAACAAGTTATAGAACAACTATAGAAGTACTCTGAAATGATGCGTGCAGGCGGTCGATGCCCCGTGCTTCTGTCAAACAGCCTTTCACCACTTCTGAGGACTGTAAGCTCGTTTCCCTCGACGTCTATCTGTCATCTAGTGAATTTCAAGGACCAATCTCTACCATTCACGTCGAACCTTGATCAAGTCAATATCCTGACCAGGATGGAGATAATCATCTAGTCTGCCTATCTTCGTTTTTTCTGCATTCTGCTCAACACCTCGGGGATCTCCATTGCTCTGATTCCCACACAGCAGTACACCGTTGCCTGCATTACTGTCTTGGAAAGCAATGCGGCAGTCATGCTGTTTTTGGTCAGTAAGTGCAACGGTGTGCAACTCGAGATTCTCACGAAGCCCTGGGTTCAAGCAAAGACTATGCTGGAGAAGGTTCACATTGGAATGCAGCGGCTCGAAGGCAACCACTCGGTGTCCAAGTGAGAGAGCGAGGAGGGAATGCCAACCTATGTTTGCCCCAATGTCCACAAAGAAAGAAGGACGAGGAAGGCTCTGGATGATACTGCTCTCTTGTGGCTCCCATAGTCCGCTCAGTCTCACGCTGTTGCTCACGATGTCGTAAGTTCCATCTTTGAACGGGTAAACGACCATCAGAAATGGACAGTCTGAGGAAGCTGGAACGATCAGTCCGTTTGAAATGCCCTTGCATTGATCCTCAAGGATTCTTCTTCGATTTGGTCTTAGTGCTACTTTTCCATTCCTTGCTGTGTATACGTCGCTTTTTGACATCTGGCATTTCGCAAACAAAAAATCTATTTCCTGAGCTGTCACCGGCTTTCGATTTCTGGGGCTATCAGCAATCTTGCCTACCCACAGCCACCAAGATACAATTGCAAGCACACCGATTATGCTGAAAGCTACAGGAAGGATTATTGGCCACCGTTGAGGCTTCTCCTCTTCGCTCTCAGCCCTGTACATTAGGGAGAAACAGGAAGGAGCTGAACACAGATGGTACGAACTGAGCCAAGGAGAAGGGAGGGGAGTCAGAGGGAGAGAACTTTATAGTGGGTGAGGGTGACTGCACAGGAGAATGTCATGGAGGGATGAAGAGGGAGCGGGACATGTTGTTGTGACCGACTGGTATCCCCTGGTATCCCCTGACCCGGCGCCATGTCAGTCACTGGCCATGTCATCGGAAGCAAGGTATCTCTGGTCTACCATCTTCTCCTGCACTCTGCACCCAGCTGCTCTGCACCTTCTCTGCTCTGGTTCAACCATCATTGTTGGTCATGCGTCTCTGGTCTACCATCTTTCATGTTCCCAAAGAGTAATTTTACTTGTGATGTAGGGGTGGGTGGAATTCTGAACCTTTCATCTAGGGTGGGGTGAGGGTCCTCACGGGGTCCTTTTCCAGAATATAGGGCTAGTGGATAGTGGTGGGTTAGAGACTCAGTGCAGTGGAGGAGTAACAACAAATCAATACCGGGGGGTTAGGACTTTTATAGGGGTAGGGTAAGTTGAGAACCTGCTAATTTGTTGTAATTTGGTGGGGTAGTATTACGAAGTTGAAGGTTCGCATGGACAACAGGGGGGTACATGTTGTTTAGAGGGGTGGGGGTGGGGGGGTAAGGCGTAGGATGGGGATGAACATGCGCCCGTCGCCTTGCAGGGGACATCATATGCGGGATTGCATCTGTCGTCTCTGTACAACATCCTCCTGATCTTGACCTTCCTCGTCGCAGCTCCCTTCTTCTCATAGTTCCTGCGCTCTGCACCTCATCGCCTTTATCAGGAATGTTTTTCCTTGTTCACCTACAACTTTGAACAGTTTTGCTGCTCGGATGAGGATAGCCTTCGTTCGATGAAGAAGTATCTAAATTTCAGGGGCAGCAATGCTGCAGATGATCACGGGAAGCGTAATCCCGTCGTTTTAGACCGTCTAGGGGAACTATGGGCAGAGGCTGCCCAAGGCCAAAGGGATTTTCTGATATCTCACAGCGATGTTGCCGATCTTAGAAAGGCTTACGAGAATTTGTTCCCAAGGGGCGCTAACAAAGAGGCTATTCGCAAGGCACTTGGAAGCTCTTTGGATGAAGCTGCTGAATTCATAGAAGTTCTCTGCAGATATCTCATACGCAATATTTCCAAGGAGGATGACGAGCTAGTTTTGCACCTCTTCACAGGAATCGAGGAAGCTCGTAGTTTGAACACTCAATTCATTCTATCAAGCTTCCTGCTTTCCCTGCATTCTGTAGATGATCTCACCCCAGTCTGCGGTGTCGGAGTACCTTCCATGCTGGTGAAACTGCTCGCCAGGATGCAGACTGTGTCAGTTTTGCTCGAAAGTGGACAGCACGGAGAAATGAATTTAACAGCTGAAGACTTGAACAAAGCGCTCAATATGATTGTTCGGGCACTGAGACATATATTCTCCTCGTTAACAATACACCAAGAGGGTGCTGCGAAGTTGCAAGGCGTACAAATAGCGGTGACATGAGATTTTGCTGCTGAATGTTCAATCTAAAGCACTTTGATTCAGGTGGAAGATCTTGTCCGAGGAGATGCCATTCGAGGTCTGATCCATATGACTGGCCAAGCAGTCAAACCGTATCAAGCTGGATTCTCTCGTTGGGTGGAAGTTCATGCTGTGAGTGTTTGTTGTATGACCGGCATTTCCTTGATTTAAATGAGCAGGTTGACATCCTGTTGACTGTACTTTGGAATGGAATGTGCCGTGAGCTTGTACTCCATATACAGCGAAATATGCTGCTACAGACGGTGGTTGATGCATTGAATTCAGCGTTAAATCAAGATACCTTGCCTAATCTCCTTGGCGTGATTGGTTTGTTCAAAGTTCTACTGCAGGTCAGGCTTTAGCTTTGAGTTGCTACTTTCGAGTTTCTTGTTTCTTACAATATGATTTGGTGCAGTCAAGTGTGTCGGCGCACATGATAGGCGAATATGAATTTGTTGATCATGTTTTGTCTTTCCATCCTCTGTCGCTCTTGAAGGAGTTCATTGTAAAGCTATGCCTCCAAATCTATGTCAAGGTACCTATTCCTGAATGTCATTTGCTTTTTGGAGTCTTGTTGAAACTTGTCATACAGGGTAAATTTATTGATGAACTTGGAGTTAAAGATGCAAGACGAGCTTCTCAAGATCCTAAATTGGATTTCAATGTGGAGTGGAAAGATGCGGGTCACCAGAATTCAGTCAGCCAGGAAGACGTGAGAATCTATAAGGCCCGAAGACTGGCGTTTGAAGCCTGTGGATCACTTTACAAAAATACTGCTATACGAGTACTGGAGGCATGTGATTGGAATCTAGAAATTTCGGCAGAGCTTGTTCGAAAGTCGTTATTTGCACATACCCTTTCATACCTTGGGGCTGGGGACACGAATCTTGATTACAGCGGTGAGCAATTGCATTGAATTACATGATTTGTTTTAATCCATTCCTTGCAGGGATAGGAATTGGGATTACTCAAAAGGACGAAGCAGACGGTTCGAAATGCTTTTTCGTCTCACGAGTAGTGGAGGGTGGCCCTGCTCAAAAGCATGGCGATTTGAAACTGGGGGATGTCATACTAAGTGTCGATGATGCGGTTCTTTCCGAGCTAGACCTAGAGGGGGTTATGGGCAGACTCCGAGGTCCTTCCGGGACAAACGTTAGACTGAAAGTTCAGGGTCAAGACCCCAAGGCGCATCCTAAGGTTTTAACCGTCTGCCGAGAAGTGATTCAAGACAGAGAAAGGAGGCCAAGTACTGCAGCACATGAAGCCATGACTGAGTCATTCGAAAACGAGCAAGCTTCAAAGGTTGGTCTTTATCGCATGTCTCTATCTTCATTCCTCTCAAGGACGAGAGTTTCCGCTGACTGCCAGTCGCAGGTACTGGAAAACTAAACGGTGCAGTTACTCTTGAAACTGCCCGCGAAATGTTGGAATTGAGCATATGGAATGTAGACTGTGCTGTGGCGCGATGCTCTGTCATGCCGCAAATTCAGGCGATCAATCACCTGATGGATATCACAAAAGAGTTTGCATTCGTTGGACAATTACCGTCTGTGCTGATGACAGAGAGATATGCCCTTGAACAGAAAGATGAGAACAGTCTCAAAGGTGATGAGGTTGTTCCAAAGCCATTCAATGGCAAGACACATGTTATTTCTGACAGCAAAAATGACGTTGAATTGGCTTCTGTTCCTGGAAGAAAAGTTTGCAACCCTCGAGTATTTGATGTCTTTGCAGACTTGTGGCAAATGATTCCGGAAGATGCGTTGAGAATGCAGGTACACCGTATATTGCTATTGACTTCAACCTTATTTTGTTGCCTAGATCCTTGACATGGCTTTTGTTATATTTGCGGAACATCCTTTGAATTTCTTTGCTGTACAAGACTCTTCGCTTCTCACGTTTGCGATGGAGTCGATGAATGTTTTGAAGCATAGCTTGAAGGATCGAGTCATGAAAGTATTGGAATACGTCTTGACTATAGATAATGTTCTTCCTCTACAACACTTATGCTTACTTACTCGCCACATGGATGTCACTTGGCGGCAAGGAACGGCGAACTTTGCTCTTGGGAAGATTCTGAAGTGGATGCAATACGACGAAAGATTAGCGGATATTCTGAGAGAGACGGGTTTTCTTCACGTTATGCTCAATCATCTGAAGAGTTTTAGAATGTTCGTGTCTCCAAGAATTTTGCCACTTCCTGAAATGAGCGGTAATGACACCAATCTGAACAAGTGGTTGGTTGACGACAACGGATCTTTGCTGACCGTAGAGGACGTTGTCACGAAATTGAGGGATGACAAAAAGTATTTTGGAGCAATTAATCACAACAATTTGTCGTACAGACGCGTTAAGTTCATTGTAACTGTCAAGCGAATTTCCCCTTCAAAATTCTGCTTTCCGACTTGTGGAGTTGGTCTTGCCAGCAAAGGATTTTTGCAAGTATCATCTTTTGAAAAAGTGCCTCCGACATCGTCGATGCCTTTCGCATGTTTCTATAATGACAAAGGTCAGCTGGAGAATTCTTCTGCAAAGCATTCTGATCTTGTTCCTTTCAAATGGAATGGAAATTTGTGTGAGATCTTAATTTCATATGATCCAGTGACGATGTGTCTAAGCTTCTCACAAACTGGAATGAGAACTGTAAAATTTGAGGGTGTGAATGGTTCTGAGCTTTATCCTGCGGTCTACAGTTGCGTGCCCGGAATGTCCTTTGCAATTCAATACCTAAATGTAGAAAAAGTTGAGTCTGCTGGATCCAAAATGTCAGTGGAACACTTTCAATGGCAGGGATTTGCATCTGCTGCCAAAGCTTACTTTCGAATGATCTTGAATCGTGCTGGGTTGTATTCCAATGATCAGAACCAGATATCATATTCGAACTTGGTGAACTGTATCAGCAAACATGTCGACTTTCATTTTGTGAATGAGGAACTCTCTGGAATGTCACCAGATGAAGTAGAAGTTTTGGCAGATCGCATTTGGCAAGCGATAGATCAGAACAATGTGTTGAACCTAGTTCCAGTTGTCTGGAGTGCTCCATTCGATTTGTTTCTTGCGTTGCTACTCGAGGTTGCACGGGGAGGGACTGCAAATATGGAAACAGTCGAACCCACTGAAGTTGGTCAAGCTGCCT